TAACTGATGTTGCGGCCGATACAGCCTCTAGCGCCGGCGCTGAAGCTGATGAAGTAGGGCTGGAGGTCCTTGCCCTTCTCCCCCAGCCACCGTTCGGGGATGTAGGACTCGGGCTCGGGGAAGATTTTAGGATCACGATGGGACACCCAGGCAGAGATGGACACCGTCGTATCTGCGGGGATGAAATCACCGAGAATATTGCAACCTTCTGGAGGGGTTCGACGAGGCAGACCAAATGTAGTGGGTGGGGTGATGCGGAGAGATTCGTCGAGACAGGCGCGGAGGTAGGGGAGATGTTTCACCTTGTCGTATGGTGCAATCACCTCGTCGGCGTCCAGAACGGCGTCGACCTCCTCGCGGAGCTTAGCCATACATTTGGGATTCTTAAGAAGCCAGAACATGATATTATTCATAGCAATAGCGGTAGTATCTGAACCAGCGTTCATCATGATAGAGACCTCGGCAACTACTTCACCCCACTCGATACCGGAATCATTAGCATCGTTATGGTCCATGATGGCCTGGAAGAAATCGGGAAGACGCTCGCCAGCCTCATAACGCTTGAGACGCTGAGTGGCACGGTGATATACAATATCGTTCCAGTTCTCATTGAGCCTCCACCACTTGCGGAAGTCGGGCGAGACCCACTTGGAGACCTCAACGCTGAAGTTGTACCATTTCTCGGACCAGGCCAAGATGGACTGAGCGCGGGCAGTAGAGTGCAGAGCTTCGCGGTAGTTCACGTAGTGAATAGAGCCATCCATGCGCTCAGCCTTGACACGATCATGGCCCTGGTCAAGGAAACCAAGACGCTCGCTCAGGCCAATGTCGGCGATGGCATCAAGAGTGAAGAAGTTTGTAAAGGCTCGGTAGTCGAAGGTGAGGTCGGCGGCGTCGGGACGGAACCCTTTCTTCAGGGGAGCGGTGCAAGCCCTGTCGGCGGCTTTGATGAATCGCTCAGTCTTGTCGGCCACCTTGAACTCCCAGTTCTCGAGGTTCTTCAACGCGTAGGCAGCAGAGAGGGCACGGCGCTTGCGCTGATGATCCAGCTTGTCAACGACATCAGCCAGGTGGAAGTGCGTGCCAGCTAGAGTTTCGTAAAACTCGCCCTTGGTGCACTTTGTACCATGACCGTAGATGTCCTTGATGGCATCTGGAGAGCCATAGGATAGAGAATTAGGGCCGGTTCGGATGACTGGGTGCGTCTTGTGCAGTTTGTAGAGTAGGTCGGAACGGAAACCACGGTGGGCCTCAATCATGAAGGGGATGTTGGTGATACCGGCTAGAGGGTGGAAGTTGGGATATCTCCGCAAGCCCTTGGCATCTCTGAAGTATGTGATGACGGGGAGAAGGATAAAGTAGCCGATCAAGGCCGTAGTCGTCACTACGACGACAATTTCTGCGTACATGGAGGGCAGAATTCAGACTTCAATCAAGTCAGCTGTTGGTGGAGGGTGTTGATCTATGGTGGGTGAATGAGATATGAATTTGTTGAAAAAGATACTCCGTGTTATATTTCGCTTCAGAATGTCTATTGGCCATTCACGACCAGAACCTAGCGAGAAAATAATTGCGTAGACAACACGGCGAGTAAACATCAGAATATTTCCAATGTTACAATGCTGACAGTTGTCACAACAAGAGGGACGCTACCCCTTCTCCAATTTCCAATATGGCAATTCCCTAAACCGGCGTTTCGAGTCATCTTCTGGTGGCATCCAGAAATGCCCACGGGGAGCTAAAAGCACCAGGCTGGTTATGGGAGTCAGCCCGGCTTCATGTGACAGCAACTGTGACACGAAGCCAAGAGGAAAGCCAAAGCCATGAGGGGTAAAGGGGTGGAACTCTCCACAAGATGTTCACCCGCATGCCCAGGATCGTAGATTCTAGTCCTCCCTCCCCCACACTTCTCCATCTTGATACTGGATGGGGTCCCGTGATCGAGATCCGGAGAGCTGACACTAGTTCGCAGGAAGTCATACAGGAGTGGAGAAACATTCTGAACACGGAAAGTTCTCTTTTAGATCACCTGAAACAGGAAAGTTTCCTATCACAGACTGCCGAGGGAGGCAATTCTGCCCGACTCTCTCGGCCGCTAATCTCATACCAAAGAGGATTTGCCAACCGCACCTGAGATTAGCGAAGCGACTTTCCTCGCCTGGATCCCACATTCTGGCTCCACGAGGCCTGTGGGAAATAGACCTGCCACGGTTGGGTGTGGATCTGAGTCAGGGAATATGTATGCAACATTCAGCTGAGAGTTGTTCTGGTGGCGGGCGGAGCAGAGCGAATATCAATGCATTCGAACCCTTCACCAACTCTCGTCTGAATCATTTGAACTCAAACGATTAGAAATTAATTCGCCTTCTTGCTTAGTTCTAGCCAGGGGATCAAAGGCTGTTTTGTCCGTCATGACCAGCACATTCCACCTAGATGCCATCCAGCGGCTATCCCATCTCGGGCCACCACAAACCATCGCGGATGGAGTAGCTCTTGCTGCAGTCGGAGTTGCTTCAGCAGCATACATGCTCAATGGCATAGTTTGGAATGAACCCGATCCCTACCACGATGTCTGGTTCAAACGAATGGAATCCAGAAGTGGTGCTGGGGGCGGTGCCAAAGCAACACGCAACATTGCCAAGAAGCTAGAGGAATCAGTAAGTACAAAACAATACACAACGAGATTGCCTCTTTCCTTACCACAGTATCTCTATCGTGCATTTTGCTAACTCTCGGCTCATCAGAACAAGAATGTCGTCATATTTTGGGGTTCCCAGTCCGGTACTGCAGAGACATTTGCAGGCCGCCTGGCTAAGGAATGTCATTTAAAATTCGGCCTTCAGACTTTGTGTGCCGACCTCTGTGATTATGATCCCGAGACAATTGCGCTTATTCCTGAGAATAAGCTGGCTATTTTCATTATTTCTACGTATGGTGAGGGCGACCCGAGCGACAACACGTTAGGTCTCTGGGAGTGGCTTCACAAAGACGCTGCCGGCATCAAGCTCCCGCAGCTCCGCTACATGGCATTTGGCCTGGGCAACACAAGCTACAGGTACTACAACCGAGTGATAGATGTGGTGACCGAGGCTCTCGACAAAGCCGGTGCACAGCGTCTGATGCCCGTGGGTAGGGCCAACGATGCCAATGGCGGGACAGAGGAGGACTTCCTCTCGTGGAAAGATGACCTCTACGAGCATTTCATCAGCCAGCTGGGTTTCAAAGAACAGGATATTCCATATACCCCGAGTATACGACTCGTTGAGGATGAATCCCTCGATGTCATTGATCTCAATTTAGGTGAGCCTCTTGACAACCGACATGGGCCCGCTCGTATCGTCAAACAATATTCTGCCATTAAGCCATTGCCCGTCGAAACGTCACATGAGCTATACAGCTCTTCCAGCCGGAACTGCCTCCATATGGAGCTGGATATCTCCAACATTCCGGAACTACGATATGGAACCGGGGACCATCTCGCCGTCTATCCCATCAACCCTGACCAGGAGGTACAGTTACTCCTCCAGGCACTAGGGTTGGAGAGCCGAGCAGAGACACCTCTGCTAGTCCAGCCCTTAGAAGAGGGTCAAACGATCAAGATTCCTAGCCCAACCAATCTCACAGCCCTCTTCCGCCATTATCTCGAGCTCTGTGCCCCAGTGTCCCGCGAGACTGTCGGCCAACTTGCCAAATTCGCCCCTACAACCGAAGCCGCGGCAAAGCTTGCATCCTTAGGAAAGGACAAGACGGGTTATGCCGAATTCATCGCCAGCAATCACATCACCTTTGGCCGTCTCCTCTCTCTAGCAGCTCCAGGTAGTATCTGGAAGGACCTCCCTCTCGCCTACGTTGTTGAGACGTTACCAACTCTCCAACCCCGTTACTACTCCATCTCCTCATCGAGCGTCGTGTCCGCTCGAAAGATAGCCATCACAGTCGGTGTCGACAGCACTCCCCTCCCCGCTTCCTCAACCACTGAAATCCGGGGAGTGACGACAAATTATCTACTGTCCCTCTCAAATCACATGAACGGATCTCCCAGCAATTCAATCGCCTCCCCGTCCTACCAACTCTCCGGACCGGGAAACGTCCTCCAGAGTAGCATGGTACACGCTTGCATCCGTCGCTCCCAATTCAAGCTCCCCACCGTCGGCGCCACGCCCATCATCATGGTCGCAGCCGGTACGGGCATGGCGCCGTTCCGCGGCTTCATTCTCGAGCGGGCACGCCTAAAAGCGATCGGGAAGCCCGTCGGGCGCATGCTCCTCTTCTTCGGCTGTCGTCGGCCGGACGAGGACTTCCTCTACCAGAGGGAGCTCGCGGACGTCGCCGCCTCTGGACTGGAGGGCGTGCTTGAGATTGTGCCTGCCTTCTCGCGGGCTAGTGGCAAGCCCAAGATATATGTCCAGGATCGTGTGGCGGAATACAAGACAGAAGTGTGTGAGCTTTTGAACAACGGCGCGAATATGTACATCTGTGGTCGCGCGTCGATGGCGATAGAAGTTGGAAAGGTTGTTGAGGATTCAATGAAGGGACTAAACAGCTGGACGGAAGCGGATGCTCGAAGCTGGACTGAGTCGGCGAAGAAGGGCGCCAAGTGGCTTGAGGATGTCTGGGGTTAATTTGAGGTAGGTACACTGCCATGGAGAGTTACGGCTTGTCTCTTGGAATATGTATATCAAGGTTCCTTAGGTATGGGGTGGCAGACGGGGAAGGGAGTCATTGGGCGCTTTCGGTTAGGATTTGGATTTCTTATCATAGCAGGGCAGCTCGTCATTTGAGGACCAGAGTCACAGCGTTAAAGGTCAATAGAGTGATAGATGTCATATTCAGCGACTACAAATCACTTTGATGAAGTGAATTTGCATGCCGGGGTCCAAAAATATACGGGCTGTGATGAGGAGTTCACGGTCCGATATAACTATCGTCACTTGCCAATCGCCTGGGAACTAAGTGCCGTCACTAGGGGCACGCTTCCTGTTCTCACACAATGCACCAGCTCAGAGCTCGATTTTACGTCCCTTCAGTTTGTTAAGACCATTGATGGTTGCCTTCAGGTGGTCAAAGTCAGGGGCGTCTTCTCCAAGACCCCAGGCGAAAGCTCCTCCCAGCCCCATCTCCCCAACCAGCTCTGCCATCTTGGACTCAATAACCTTGGGCGTATCAAAAGACCACCATCTGGCCTCCTCTTTGTCCCAGTACCCATAGCTCCCATCGGCGGTGTAAATACCCTCGCTCTGAGCCCGCTGAAACGAGTCGACGACTTCGGACGGGGTCTCGTCGTGATAGCTAAAACCGCCCGTCCTACCAAGGTCGGCGCCAGTGTTCGGGTCTTCCAGAAGCAGAGTCGGACAGCCAATTGGGTCGCTTGGGTCGCATCCATCCGTGGTCAGGAACCACTTGACGTAGTATCCAAGACCTACATTCAGCTGGTGTGGCTTGGCACCACGGTCTACATAGCGCTGGATGGCGTCGCGAGAGTCTGCGATGCCGCTGTGATGCTGAACGGTGGTGTCTCGTCGGTTCATCATGTCATATGTCATGACATTGATGAAGTCCACAGCGCTTATGATGCGTGGAAGAGTCGCCGTTGTAAAGGCTATAAGATCGACCTCCTTCCCAGGAGTAGCGATGGTGAGGAGCTTGTTCTTGCCCAGAACAGTGCGCAACTGCTGGAGCAGGGCGACGAAGGCTTCAATCTCCCACTCGCGCTCCGAGTTGGGTATCTCCTTGTAGTCGTCACGATTACCACTGAAGAGAGGTCAGTTTGAGTCGACAGCAATCTCATCGGGGAGGCAGTCAACTGACCCCGGATACTCCCAATCGATGTCAACACCATCAGCACCGGTCCTGTCCACCATGATCTTGACCTGATCGGCCCATCTCTTCCTCGACTCGGCAGTAAGCGCGGCCTCCTGGAAGCCCTTCCAATCACCCCAGCCCCCAATGGCGACGAGGACCTTGGTCCCAGGCTTGAAACCGGCGCGCACCTGGTCGACGCTCATGAAGAGCGGGTAGTCATTGGGAGGGGTTTCGGCGGTGAAGACGTCGGAGGTGAGAAAGGCCAGATTGACGTGGGTGATGGACGACGCGAGGTCGAACGCAGGAATGATAGGATGCTGACTGCAAAATCACAAATGCGTCAATGCCATGACCTCTCTGGGCCGGCGCGCGCCGTGGTATTCCTTCATCCTCGGCCCTAAGATGCTTACCCAGTGAGATACATGAGACAGCGCGTCCCGTTCGAGGTGACACCGGTAGCTGACACCACCGCCATGGTGAGGGCAGTGGTGAGCAATCTCACGGCGGCGTGGATCAGGCGCATTTTGGGGTCTTTCGCTGCTCCTCTTTCGTCTCTTTTTCTTCACATAAAAGATATACACCAGAAAGACAGGTCCTAAGAAGGAGAAGGAGGAAGGCAAACGCGCAATGCCACGCCGCTTGGAGGGATTGTCGCGGTGTGTCGATCGACGGCTAAACACGGCGGATTTTGGTTGGCTGAGACTCTTCAGTGCAGTAGCACCAGAAAGAGGGGCAGCGGATCGCTTTAGGGAGGTGCCGCGCGGGTTCTTTCCAATTTGTTTATCCGATATTCAGGCGATGGCCGTACCTGCTGTTTTTGGCTTCCCCGAGACTTATTTCCTAGGCTTTCAGGCAGAAACGTGATGCAATCTACCCTACACTCCGTCAACAAATGCGACTTGAAATTCAAAAGCAATGACCTCCGTTTCTAGTTTGTGGAGGAAATTGTTAACATCTTATCTCCTTTAATGCATTGGAACTACCTTACATCAGATAGTTGTAAGCGTTACGATCCTGGTACCAATGTGTCGTTCATCTGGCTTACTTCCAAGGGTATACCAAACAGCCGGGTCCATCTCATCTGAGACACAAACAGCTTTACACAAACCTTCCCTGTTCCCAAATCAATTCATCGCGCCTGAATCTTTCCAATACGTATGTACCCTCCTTAATTCGTTTCACATATAACAACAAAGACACAATGACACTCCAATCGCGGGGGACCGATGACAGCTTGAAATGAATCCCCGCGCCGCATCACGTGATTGTGAGGCGGGAAACTCACTCACTCTAACCCAGCACGGATCCTTGGGCCTCACCGAAAAGCCGGGAATTCATCTAGGGCAGCACATCGCCGTAGCTTGGAGCTGGTCCACACTCCTCTTCCCCCTTTCCAGACCATCAGCCCTACACGACAGACTAGAGCTGTATCTGCCTCGCTGGACGGGATCATAGCGACCTCTTGGACTCCCAGAGATGCCCGGCACTCCCTACTCTCGGGGATGCCAAGTCTGCAAGCGCCGGAAGATTAAAGTAAGACACGCCAGGCACTAGAAAACGGCGCGTCCGGGGCTCCTCAAATAGAATCAGCTGAGGCTAACGTCGTGAAAGTGTGATGAGGTCTGGCCGACGTGCACGCCCTGCAAGCGGACGCACCACACCTGCCCGGGCCCGTCCGCCCTCTTCAAGTTTGTCCACGAGGGCCTGGTCGTTGCCGTCGATGCCCGCCGGCGCCGAAAGTCCCCCGTGACCAATGCGTCCCAGCTGCAGCTGCTGCTTCAGCAGCGCCTCGAGAGCGGGGATCCGCATGCATGGCGGCCCGCGACCTCTGTAAACTGGACTCCAATCAGGTCCTACGGCGACAAGATCGGCTCGTACGCCGTCTTCCGGATGCAGGCACCCCAGTACGCGCTCACAAGCGAGGCCGACAGCATTGCTACGCGTCTCATCCTCATCATGGAGCAGGACTCGAACGGCTCCAGCGGCGTCCGCATGCAGATGGGCTATCTCCCATACCTCCCGATGCGACTGTCTCGAAGTGAGTGTTTACGTAACTGCGCCGCGCTGTTCTGCTCTGCATGGGAAGAATATCTTCGCTACGAGGATTCCCGGGAGCTGCTCACCTTTGGCCTGTATAGCAGGGCTATTCATAGCGTCCAAGCCGCCATCACAGAGGAGAGCCCGTATTCCGTAGAGACACTCGCCGCGATGATCTTGTTGGAGCGTACGGGGACGCTGTTTGGAACCGACCAAGTGACCAATCTAGAGGCACAGTACCGTGGCATAGAGTGGGTGCTAACCAGGAAGGGGACTCTGAACTTCGCTGACCCCTTTGATGTTACACTGGCGTTTGAGAGCCAACATATTCTGGTGAGCTGCAACCAACCCTTGCCTTGAAACACCGCCTACAGATACAGCTAACCACCTACCCGCTGCCAGCACACTGCATCTCTCAACGGCAGTAGGGGCTACTTGGCAGAAGCACACTGGATGAACCTGATGGAGACAGTGGCAGGAGAGTACCTGGCCATGGATGAACTCAAATCTTTCCCCAGCGAGACCTTTATACTGAACAGGTCCCTCGGCAGACTAGCCCAGTTCAACGCGGAGGTAAGAACCATACGGATGAACCCAAGCGAGAACAAAGAGCTCAGCGCGTCCGTGCTTTGTTCTCTCTCTGACCTGGAGCGAGCTATCGACACACTGATACACACTACTACTGAGGCAGCCCTTGCGGCGGGAGATATCATTGACGAGCTAGATGCGACTTCCGTTGTCGGCCACAGCTGGCATTTCCGATCGCCCTTCTTTGCCCACGTCCTCGCCGGCGGCATCATGTTCCAGATTCTGCTGCTGCGGATGATCTACGATCTCGGCGTCGTGTATGGACAGCCCGACCCCGGAGTGTACTCCCGCTATCGTGACGCATGCGCTAGATTCTGGAAGTACATCCCGTACATCTCCAAGCTTGATGCAATGTCAGCCGTCAATCTCCTTGGTCCGGTTTTACTTTCCCTAGAAGGCGCGAACAAGGCGGAGAAAGCGGTCCTTCTCAGCCAGGTTTTGGCGGTGAAGTGCTACAGGCCGCGGTATCCAGGAGGGGAGAAGCAGTTAGAGGCAATGGCCATAAGTTTTGCCATGCACCGGACAGGTCGGATACCTGACGCTCATGGAGGAGGTTAGGACTTAATAATTAATAAGAATCTCATCACGGTTGTATTGTCCCTGTTGTCGCTGATAGCTGATTGATGATGTCCCTGGCTGGAGTCATTTTTACCTAAACAATCTTGGCAAGTGACTGAAATGAAACATGGCACACTAGAGCTCTTTTCATGTAAGCTGGAGACCTCATTCTGATATTGACAATATTTTCAATGTGGAAATGTTCAATTGAGTGATAGCCTCGGTGGTTGTGTAAAGTGAACGTGCCAAGGGTTCTTGGTGAGAAGTAGGTGATGGTGGACGCTGAACAAGACGGAAAACTCTGAAATTAGGCCACCAGTGAGCTCTTAGTCGGCGTAGGGAAATCCTCAGTCATCCCTCTCTCACTCCCTTCTCACCTCCTCACCTCCTCTCTAGTCGGTCGGTACGATCTGAACCACTCGCTGAGTTATTTGGCAGTCTACTGACGGGGGATCTGGAAGTGAAATGCACAGCCTATAAAGCACGCTTTGCCCTGGTCGACCAAACGCAAACATGTGGAATTACTTAGTCTTTTTGAAGACATGAACTTGAGAACTTACAATCTAGCCTCACTAAGCGATATGCTATTTACTGGTGGTCGCCTGGGATGGGATTTCCAGCGTGAAATAGTGAATTGGTCAGACCTTAGGTAGCGATACAGGGACTTATTCCAAAGACAGACTCAAAACACGGTAAAGAAGGATTTCAGCGTGCCAATAAAGGTGAATGCCAGTCTGGTGTCTAAGGCTATTGTGTCACTGTCCATCGCTCAGTTAGTGAACATAAAAAGTGTGTGATTCACTGCTCTTCAGGAACAGTCCCGCTTTCAGAAGCACCGCTCCTGCTCACTTTCTGCTCACTTTCTGCTCAGTTACTTGACTGAAGCCAGGCACCACTCTTTCCTGCCGAGTATAAAGCCTGCAGCTTTTCTTGAAGCCTCTTTCTTCCCGATTCTTCTTCCTCCATCGCACCTTGCTTGCAACTCTCGATCTCTTCCTTCCCAACCAACTTCTTCCATCATACTCTGCTTCCAGCATTCCTCTCCACTGCACATACCGCTCAAAAACAACATTCCACTCATCTCAACCTTGCTTATTCCAACCAACTTCAAGATGAAGTTCAGCATCGCTGCTACCGTTCTCTCCTGCCTCTCGGCCATGCCTGCCATCATCGCAGCGCCATCCCCCGAGTCCGATTCTTCCGAGCATGCTTCCGAGGTTGTCAACAAGGACTGCCCCTCTCTCATCGAGGGCTACTATCTCGGAGTGAGTCAACACTTCTTCATTTTCTGGATGTGCCAAGCTGTCAGCTAACCATGTGTTCGTGCAGCAATGCAACGGCTTGTCCTGCAAGTGGCACGGTGTCAATCTCGACTGTGAGGTTGGCAAATGCGTGAGTACCCCTTCTGTTGATCATCACGGAAACAACCCGAAAGACTTGTTTCCTTCTTCTTCTTGTCACTAACCACATGATTACTTAGGTCGGCAAGGGTGGCGGCGACGGAAGCTGCTGCCACGTCAAGGGCAGAGTCCACTGCCCCAACGGCGGCTGGATCGGCGGCCAGTAAGGAACGAACCGACGCACACGAACGAACACGAACGAAGCCAACATGAACTGGTATATTCTGGAAGTGAGAACTGTCCGGCGGCAGTGGGAACCATATGCAGCTGGAAAGGGGGAGATCAGAATAATAGTCATGCTTTGTTTGATGTGATGGAACACACTGGGGAATGGAAACAAGCTTCTGTCTGATTGTATCTTGACATGAAGACGAAGCCTCCATAGACTACCTAGGTAATCGATCAAAAAACGAAGTTCAAAACACCCAGATGACCTCACACTGTGCAAAAAAAAAAAAATCATCGAATAATTGGATTTCTGTTGCAAAAGCCCGGACTAGATCTTGTGTTTCCTGCGATCTTAACTCTTCTCTAGGCCGTGCGAGAACTCGTCACTGACCATGTACTCTCCTGCTTATTTGGTCTAATATTTATGCAAAATTACATGTGATTCTTCCAAAAGGCTCACTACACTCGAAACTTCCTTGGGTCATTGTGAATGTTGCGCCCCGTGACTTCATGCGCATGGGGCCTGACAGCCGTGTAAAGTCCAACAACACAGAAGATGATTGCTGGAATCATTTCCGGAAGGGTGGTGCAAACGACTCTAACAGCCATCGAAGGGTCACTAGCCTTCGTAGATACCAGCGAAACCAAGCTGTAGATGACACGGATGCCCAAAATCGGGATAGAAACGAGGGTCGATACCAAAAGCTGTGTGAACAGTGATGTCGTTAGCGGCTAATTACCAACTTTACGGCGCACGAGATTGCTGGAGGTACACGTACCATATTGCCAATGTCCATTTCCATCCGGGAAAACCTCGAAAAAAAGGGCCGGCACGAGAGGATGATCCAGATAGCGAGGACTGTCCATGCTGATGTCAAGATGCCCATGCCAGCCTTGGCCATGTTGCGATCACCGGCTGTAGGATGCGGGCTGTTTTGAAGTCGTGATGCACCGACAGCTAGTAGAGCTATACCGCCAGTGACTTGAACGTGATATAGAATCACCTTCAACCACTCTAATTTGCGGTTCAATTCAGGGCGCAGGTACACTTGCCTATCATTCAGTGGTCAGTCAGTCCTACCTATTCTCTTCATTATTGTTTGGGTTATTGTTTTGGGTTATTGTTTTGGGAGGCAACATACGCTTCATGGAGGATCCCCGCTGTTGCAAGCAAAATGGGCGACAGGCCAATGTTGGAAATAATCGCTGCTGAAGTGCTGCCGGAGAGCTGCATAGCACAACCGACAATGCGGAGCGAGAAGAATACAAGCAGATATCCCCAGCCGAGCAATCCAGTAACCCCATGCTTCCATAGAATATAGAAGGTAGGGACGCTAAGAGTAGCGTAGATGGCCAATTGGGCGATGGAGAGTTGATCCATTGTAACTTGAATGTTGTAACTTGTAAGCGGCTTTATGCTGTGGTGGACGATTTCTTGTCCTTTGCTTGACTGTGTTGTGGATGAGGACGAGCTATCGTAAACAACCCCAAGGAATGACCCGAATATATATATTTATTCCACCTTGCATCTTTCTATTGAAGCCCAAAGACTTCAACATTGAACGAGACCGAGAGCTCTAACTATTGTGATGACACTTCGGCACTCAACATCCGTAAGGCTGTGTTACTGCGGACGATCTGTTGCTGATGGAAATGTGGGTACTAAACGATACCGATGCCGAAGAACGAGGAACGAGGAACGAGACAAGCGACTGACATAAAACATGGCACACCCAGAACCTCTAGTGTTGAATTTCAACACAGTATCAATACAATATCAAAACAACTACTTGGTCATACATGCAATTCAAGCTAAATACTCAAACCTTACAGAATAATGATTATTTGTCTCCTTATTATTATGTTATCGATCAAAAATGAGCTCCCTGACTTACGGAAACAGACGTTTGGTGGGCCATGTTTTATGTCACCCACTTGGGAGACTGGAGGGGCTTGAGGGATCGGCAGCACGTTAATTTAAATCCTTGACGTCGCTCCTTTCTGTCAACTCTTCTCCTGCTCTATTTACCTCCGCTAGTCGACTGCCATTTTCATGTTACCAGACTCCAAGAGATAAGGTGACTGCTCACCCGCAACGATGCTCGCCGGCCACCGCATCATGACCTCCCACTCTGGCCCATCCAAGAGCCCGCTCTCCTGAAGCGCCTTAATCTCCTGCCTCGCGCTGTCGCCACACCACCATATCTCACTCGCGTACGAACAAAAGGCAAAGACGTGCGCCAGCAGCACCAGCGCCCTCGGCCGTTTCATACTCAGCAACTCGACGTACCGCGCCGGAAGCAACGTCGAAAGATACATCAACCTCCGACAGAATATATTCAGAGGCTCGCCGGCCTCACGACCAGAGGCGATCCATTCGAGTAATCTTACAGTCTCCCGATACGCCTCCTCGTCGATCGCGTCCCCCAAACCTTCGCTCCCCACTGGAACAAGGAGATGCGACAGTGTCCCGAGCATCGGTAGATCGTCCGACTTGCGCATCCGGATGGTGTCTATGCTGGTGTGCACCAAAGGCCAGATGAGAGCATCCTTGTCATCCTGGAGGAGGGCCAGTGCACATTTACACACATCGCCAATTCCCCGGGAGAGCTGGAGCCAGTCCATGGGAGGTTCATACGGGCCAGTTAGGTCACGTTCCCGCAGATGCGCAAACGCGTCTAGGGTGATTACGACGGTGGTGAAGCTCACTGCGTCCGCGTTCTCGCGTGTGAAATGACCTAGAGCCGCGCGATGGGCCTGCAAGGTCTTCTCGAGATAGCGAGCCCGCCAGTGGAGGCGTTCAACTGCGACGTTGGGCTTGCGCGTGGCCTCGTACAGGCATGAGAAACCCAGGATGGCGTGCAGAAGAGGTTCGTAGCCGAGTGCCATCTCGGGGACACCGACGGTCCATATTTCCAACAGTTTGGGTATGTAGGTTCCCGGGATATAAGGGCACACCTGGGTGACAAACACGTGTAGAAGCCGGAGCTCACGATGCCTGCGTTCTAACGTCTCGTGGAAGAAGGTATCAGGCTCGGGTTTCAGTCCTCTATCAGGTTTCGGGCTGGTGCTGTCTGGCCGCCGGTCATACACGCAAGCCACGCTGTGACGAGTGCATCCACCCTGGAAGAAACCAAGACGTAAGTGTTAGTTGTTCCATTTCTAGTTTATCCGGCAGCGACCAAGGCTGCTGAGGAGAATGAACCCACGCAGGTTGGTTGCTTCTCGTCACACTGTAAAGCATTGCTGAGTCAGCAATCATCGTGGTGCCACTCTCCAGACGGAGCTGTTTGGGCACATACCTTGACGCGCCTGGTTCTGCAGCGCAAACATCCCGTCTTAGACTTGGTATGGTACAGGCGTGGTGGCATTTGATAATTTTATTTGATCGAGTTGCGCAAGTGAAGCCAGGGAGAGCTAGAAGCGTTCTGAGGATTCTCCGTAGAATCCACGCGTCCATCGATGCTCAGCCGTCATCACCCACGTGACCTGCCGTTGGCGTCAAGGGGCGTCTGTTCTTAATTTAGCGCTCAATTTAGCGTCGCAACGTGCTGTAACGGCCGCTAACGTTTAGGGCTTATGGTGTGATGTCATGGCGAGCTTCAGCAGCATTGGAATCACCCTGTACATGCTCATAGTCTGATGAATCTTCGGTTCTGCTACAGCTATGGGACTTTTTCATAAATAGACATTTATTTCTCTCATGGTAAATTATAGCTGATGCGTCGGAATTTTGGGCTGGAGCAAGAGATGTGTAACATTACTCGGCTTTGCAACGTGCAAGCTAAGAAAACTGCATTGTATGGAAAAGTAGGATGGAGATCTTGTTGTTTCATTAATGACATGTTCCAACCACCATCAAGGTTGGGTCCGACAAGCGACTGACATAAAACATGACACATCTAGGTAGACACTTCAACGTTATTTCAACACAATATCAAAGCAATTTATCTCATAATAAAGACAATATAAAGCTAAATATCATAGAATAATTCTTCGTTCTCTTATTATTGTGTCAAGTAAGAACAAGGTCCCTCCCTTACGCGACAAGAGCTCTAGTGTGTCATGTTTTATCACCCACTTATCCGCTTCAGAGTAAATCCTCTTGACTTGCTAAATCAGGGTGAAGAATGGGTCGTAACGTTTGCTTGACAGATACTCTTGGACTGGTTTCATATCTGGAACTTTTCCTAACAACGGCCCTCATTTACTCCGACAATACGCTAGGTCATCATCTGATTATGCGAATATGGCAAAAGGTGCGTGTCATTCATACGCAAGACTGTCTTAAGAATGTTCTTTCTTCCTGAAAGGGAAAACAGTCGCAACTATTCAGGCTACCCTAATGGAGAGAATCCACTCGTTGATGCGGGGCTGTTGCAGAACGGATGGATTGCAGTCCCGACATTTACAAGTAACCTTATCTGTAGTAGGGAAATGCTACATCCTGGCCACTGGCACCGATATCTCAGACTAAAACGCAGAGTTAAGATATTAGCATGACTTGATCAGTTTGCTTCAGGCCTGACTGGGAAAAACAACCCGAGATTGACTGAAAACACTGGAGCAAGCATGTGGGGCAATATCGCGACTTGCTCGCCGTCTGACTCTTGCACTCATGTGCTCAGGATACTTTGAGTGAGACCTTATTCCTAAAAAATGGTAGCTGACGAAAGTATTCACAGGGATTCAATTCACGGTTGACGGGCGGGGATATCGGGGTTTCGATGGGACAATCGAACCATTCGCTTTACTCCGTCATTCCGTGGCGCATTGACGGAGTTGCGGGATTCATCGTCCAGTATAACTGGTCTATGTGAAGTCAACTGAATATCTCAAGGCTCTCAATGCATCGGATTGCCAACAGCTTGCACCGGTCTCAAGATCATGCGAGCCTCAAAGAACCTTCTTGCAGCGAGCATCTTTGCGGGCCAATCTTTGGCCGCTAAGATGAGCGCCTGTTTTTCCGAGTCCTTCTCTTTCCCTACCATTCTCGGCACTGAGCTTCATTCCATTACTGCGTCGCTTGTCAAAGGCTATAAAGGCTTCGTAGCATTTGGAAGACCCGAAGCTGCTCTCATCGAACCCGGCGGCGTTGACTTTTGCAATGTCACCGTTTCCTATAAGCATCCCACACACGAGGATCTAGTATCTGTCCACGTCTGGCTCCCAACTGCAAAGTATAATGAGCGTCTTGTGGACCTCGGCGGAGGAGGTTGGGCAGCTGGAGAAGTTGGTGCTGAAGTCATGACTGGGCTAGCATCACAAGGCTATGCAGTTGCTTCGACTGACGGAGGATACGACCATAACCATTTCGGCACCGCTGATCCTTGGCTGATGAAGAGCCCCGGAAACCTGGACTACCCGCTGATTGTGAACTTTGCTCATCGCAGTCTTCACGAGCTGGCTGTCATCTCTAAGCATATTGTCGCGGAAGGTTATGGAGCGAAGGCCAAGTTCGCGTACTGGCATGGATGCTCGACGGGTGGGAGACAGGGCATGGCAATTGCCAACAAGTACCCGGATGACTTTGATGGCATTCTTGCAAGTTGTCCTGGAGTTGACTACCCAGCGCTGGTATTGTCACTGTACTGGCCTCAGTTCGTTATGAATCAACGGAAGGTGTACCCCCATGCATGCGAGTTTGAGTTTTTGGCCCAGGCGGTCACCAAAGCCTGCGATGGCCTTGATGGAGTTATTGACGGGGTTGTTTCTCGGCTCGACCTTTGCCATTTTGATCTCCAGACTCTGGCTGGGAAGGTTATTGAGTGCAATGGAAAGCCGCTTCAAGTATCTCAAGATACTTTAGAAGTCTACAAAGCCATACTGAAGGGGCCTGTTGATCCGCAAGGGAATGAGCTTGTTGGCGGAGCCACGCCAGGAGCAAACCTCGTTGGGTTTCTGGGAATCGCAAACACCGTCTGCGACGAGGACAACAACTGCGCCCGGGGCCGGCCATTCACCATAGCCACAGATTGGATTCGGCTCATGCTCAAGAAGGATCCACAGTTTGACCCCGCGAAGTTAACCCACGAGGAGTATGCTCGGATGTTCCGGGATGTCCGGCAGGAATGGGGGCACCTGTTTGGCAGCAACGAACCTGATCTGGGACGATTCAGGATGCTGGGGAAGAAGATGCTGGCTTGGCATGCAATGAACGACCAGGTCATTCCGCTCTCGCATATGCGAGGGCACTTTGACAAAGTCCGGGCGGCCGACGAGCTTCGTGGCATCACCACCTCCGACTACTACCGGTACTTCGAGGTGCCTGGCGCCAGCCATTGCGGAGCCGCAGATGGAGTTGCATATCCTATGCATGCTCTTGAGGCTTTACGGTCGTGGGTGGAGGAAGGCATCGCGCCAGAGGAGCTGTCGACTGTTGTGTTGGGCAGCGAGGGGAACCGGGCTGGCACACCAATTTGTGACTACCCCAAGGTAGCCAATTGGGAAAATGGTTCATTCACGTGCAGGGAGAGTGGCGGTCAGCCCGACAATTCCTCAAAACGTCAAAAGGACGAGCTTTGATCAGCTTGACGGTAAGGGCAAGCCAAGTTCACATACTCGAGCCGCTTCGGCAATTCGATGAGTAGGCTGTTTGTGACTCGGCACATACTCAATAGAATTATTTAAATATACCAAAATTGTACCTTTTCAAGTAGACTGCTACCGTAAAAATATTTCAAACGGCAAATTCTAGCCGTGTGGTCACCCAAGCATCGCCCCCAGTCGCTCGCTAATTATGTTCAGGGGGTCTCATGCCAGATGTTTTCGCTTCCGCTTTAATGGACCGCCGTTGGTCCCGCTGCATACACACTCGGCTCAGGCGTCTTAGCGGCGGGTACCGAAGCTTGTTCTTGAGGGATGATCGGTTGTGTCTCGCTCTCTGGTGTTCTATTCCGTTAGGCTTCCCCTCAATATCTGTCGTTATCTGTCCTGGAGGATGCGTGATTGATAGGCACGTCCGGCCTCGAAGCCGCTGTGGGGGTTTGGTCTACTCAAAACTACACGAATATCCATTTCTGTGTTCTTTGAAGGAAGAATAAGGTAAAAAACGGACCTTGAAAGAGGGGCTCGCTAAACATCACGAACTGGAGATTGCATTAATTGCCTCACCGACGATTTGGGTAGAGATCTGACCCCATTCGCTTGTAGATAGACTCACCAGTGCTCTTACTCAGTGGATACGCAGAGAAGATCTTGAATATAGGCATAACTGGGGTCAGTACTCGGTAGAGATGCATTGCATGGCCGACTTGTGATGAGTTGCTCCAGTGCTTGCGCAGATTAGAAGTAGCAGATGGAAAGAGCTTGCTCCCAGACTGACTTATGAACAATGTAAATCCAGTAGATAAGCTTTGACGGAAGCCTAAGAAACCGGATTAGGCAGAGGCATGCAGACATTCAATTCCTGGACCTAGTCATGGACTTTATGATGGCGCCTTCTGACGGAGCACTGCAAAATTTTCCCTTTGACTTGGAAAATGAGAAGATGCGCTCGGAAAACATGTTTGAAATGGAGATTGAAGGGACGAGAATCGGCGTGACTTCAACGAGGAGGAGAATTGAACCAGGAGAAAATAATTTCTTGCATGGCATCGGCCAGGGCCGAATTGTTCGGTGAGAAAATGGTGCCCAAGGCAGCCCGTTTCTTTTCCGATTACGAGTTGGCTAAAAATTATTCGACAAGTCATCCAGGCCAGCTAGTGAAATACGGTTTATCTCCATCTCGCGGTTTGTGGTGTGATGTTGAGGACCGATGATGATGGATGACTCCCTGAGAGCAAAGAATGCCAAGAGATCAGGCTATCAGTTTGAAAGCAAGGTGAGACACAAAAGATACGGCGCGTTTGGCCGTTGGTGTTTCTTTCCCCTTGACGGGATTTGAAAATTCGATGTCGACACCTCATGCCACCCTCAGCAGGGGTCATAACCTGATTTGGTAGGAATGTCACCGTAGGGATGACGGCCCGACTTGGGTCGATCGAGAGTCGCGTCTGGACCCCCACTGTCAAACCATGTAAGCGAGAACTATGTACAAGCCCCCTTATCACGCCCGTTGGTGAGGCGCAGGGCTCCGGTGCGTGGGCTTGTCTGCGAGCCCAGAGAAGGGCTGATTCCACGCTGGCCCTCGAGGCTGCCTCCACTCTTGCCCTCGATGCTGTAGGGAGGTGTCGATGGCCACCTGTAAGACGAATACGCTCCTTGGATGGAGATGGCAGAGCCGAGTGAACAACACTGCGTCGAACGAGAGCTGCCCAACCCCTTTCGCCTCTGCAGACGTGGCTGAGGAAAGAATGTTCCCTCCTTCCAAGACCCAGGGGAATTTTCTGATCCCTGCCGCAGCCAAGCCGATTATCGGCCGGTGTGTCAAAAGACCGTAGGCCCGAGCAACGAATTCGGGGTGTCCTCGCCCGGGTGAAAACCTGTAAGGTCACAACCTGGACGCACGTTCAAGAATACCTACCAATAGGAATAACCTCTTATGCTTATCTAGCACAAGAGGGTCGGGCTTAACCGATATTCGATACGATAATTGTTCTTTCGGTGTGCGCTGACGGCCTCCATCATCGATCCCTGGCCAGGTTCCAGACCACGCACCACCTAATCGGACATGATCCGATAATTCCCGGCGCAGGCTCTGGCGGCTTCCATACATGAATGAAACCCCAATTACAAACCTGTCAGGGATCAAGATTTTGCATCGGTCCGGCAGGAAAAATCTTGCTATCGGGATGTATCTTTCGTATGCCTGCAACAATGAATCATTCCCTTGCCATCATCCGATCGCAGCCCCCCCTGGCCAGCCCTTCCGTCGCTAAATCGTCCGTGAGACTGGGCTGGTGTTGCAGTTTGTCATGTTACTAGTAACACCACCTTTGAGGACCAATCCGGGTGTCGATCACCGCGGGCTCCAGGAGAGAGTAACGAGATTTTGACGTTTGCGAGCAATGCTGAGCCACTTCGGTTTTACATATATAGACAGTGAAGGCCTGGTGGATCAAGTCTTTTTTTGTTCATCACAATCAGCAATTGAATTGTATCAACTACCGAGTTGATCTCACACACAACACTTCCTCATAGAGAACCTCCTCTTACCTAATCGCACAATGAGTGCCGCAACATCCACCTCGACCGTCTTGGTCCTCGGGGGCGACCAGGAGAAACATCGCACTGTCGATGTTGAACGAACGGCAGCCTTGGACGCCGATTTCCCCGACCAAGACAAAGACAAAACCGACGAAGAAAAGAAGAAAATCGTAAGCCGCTCAGTTTAGATTCTTCTTCACCACACCGGATTCTGACTCGTGAATTCAATTAGGATCGAGAATTAGTACGGAAAGTCGATCTTTGGCTCGTGCCATGGCTTTCTGTTCTGTAAGTCAATATTGTGCGCCTCTAACCCCGGCATTCGCTCTAATACTCGCCTAGATATCTGTTTTGCTTCCTCTGTCGTACAAACATTGGCAATGCCAAGCTCCAAGGCATGGAGACCAAACTGGGGATGAGCGGCATCGACTACAACATGGCTCTGACCGTATTCTTCATCGCATACGCCTTCTTTGATCCCATCACCAACGCCATCCTCAAAAAGTCGTCGCCGCGCGTCTTCTTCACCTTGATCATGGTTATTTCCGGCGTTATCGTAACCCTCACCGGACTCTGCAGCAACTATTCCGGTTTGCTGGCGGCGCGATTCTTCCTCGGAGTCGCCCAGTCAGCGTTTTTCCCCGGCGTCAACTACTACTTGTCATGTTGGTACAAAGCCAGTGAAATTGGCGTGCGCAGTGCCGTCTTCTTCTCAGCGGCTGCCCTTGCTGGCTCCTTCTCAGGACTCCTGGCTTTCGGCATCGCAAAGATGGACGGTGTTGCCGGACTCCTGGGATGGCAATGGATCTTCATCTTGTGAGTTCACGATCCGATGAATCAGTTTATGCGTGGGATTTAGGCTAATCGGAGATTTAGGGAGGGAATTGCTACGTTCGTGTCTGGTGTCATCTGCTGGTTCATGCCTCTTGACTGGCCCGCCACCGCACACTTCCTCTCGGCCGAAGATCGGATCCGTGTCCAGCGCCGTCTTCTCCTCGCCAAGCAGTCCGCCGTCGCCGAGCACTTTGACAAGCGATATGTCTATGAGGCTTGCAAGGATTGGAAGACCTACGGATACATGCTTATCTATACTGGCTGCTTGATGCCTCTCTACGCCTTCGCCCTGTTCCTGCCAACGTAAGTTTCAGCATTGCTCCGTCGTGAAGATAGACAGAAACTGACAAGTCTGTGACTAGAATCATCCAAGGAATGGGCAAGTCTGGAGCTACGGCCCAGATCCTGAGCGTTCCGCCTTATGCTTGTGCGGCCGTCTTCACTGTTCTGATTGGCTACATCGCTGATCGCACTCGCTGCCGTGGCTACTGCAACATTGCTCCAACCCTTCTCGCCATTGTCGGTTTCTGTATTCTGATTGGAACCGACAACGTGAACGCACAGTACGCAGGCACTTTCCTCGGTGCCATGGGCATCTACCCCACCATCGCAAACTCCCTCTCCTGGGTTTCCAACAACACCGAAGGGTCTCTGAAGCGCGCCATCGCCCTCGGAATGGTGATTGGCTTTGGAAATCTGAACGGTGTTGTTTCCAGCCACATCTACATGACCAAGGAGAAGCCGCGATACTGGACTGGCCATGCTGCAGTCCTGGGCTACCTGGTTGTCTGCTTGCTCGGAGGAAGTATTATGGTGCATTTCGCACTGGCCGCCGAGAACAAGAAGAGAAAGAATGGCGAGCGAGACGCCGAGTTTGAGAAGTTGTCCAAAGAGGAGCTGTTGATCAAGGGCGACAAGAGACCTGATTTCATCTATACACTTTAGAGGAACGGACAAAGTACGGATTGATTTCATACTTCATATTTTATATTTCAGGGCGAAGGGATTTGGTATCTTGCATTTGGAAAATAGACCTAGACGGTATACATAATATAATAGAGATACAAAGGCTTATAATTCATCACCTCCTCATCATCAACCGAACAGAGATAAGATTCTAAGCTGTGGAACTTCTTGGTTTCCACTCGCCACTAATAAATCATTAGCACATCAGTTGTTTGCGCCTAATGTTTCAGGTTCCGTCTGTAAATTGCCACCTTGACTCGAGAATTGTGGTCATTGCCCCTGGGCCCACCCCCCTTTGGTATTCATGGCATGACAAATATTTATCCCAACAAAGCATCATAAACGATGCGACAGTGGCCTGAAAGCTCGAAAGCACATGTATCTTGGATATAGTAGAGTGCTTTTATTTCCCTCGACTAGAGTTGCTTTGTGGCCACCACTGGCGATACAGAGCCTTCGCAGGGCCTTCAAATGTGACACGAATCCACAGGTAGCGTTCCAGGACAGGTACTATTTCTTCCCATGTCTGCAGGCCGAGACTTGAAATTGCTTGACCCATCATGTCCTGTATCCATTCTCGATCAAAATCCTCATACACAGAATTGGCAACCACGAAAAGTGCCCAGACAATCAGCCCATCGGCTCCCTTACCAGGGACTAGTTGGTGTGCAAGCAGCGACGCTTTGATTCGCTTAGCCAGATACACCAGGTGCCTCCCGAACCCTTTGATGGGGTTGAGTAGATATTTCACATATGATAGCATGCAGAGACGCAGCAGTTCCGAGTTGGAGCCCACGTCAAATTCGATAGCAAGCAGACGATATGGAACTGACTGGCTAAGACGAGAGAAGAACCCCGGTGTCATCTTCACGTTGGTCCTTGTTGCGTCGTTTGCCGCTTTGGAAAATTCTCGTAAATCAGCCCAGATGGTTTGTATCCTTGAGTCTAGGTCTGGGCAAACATGGCGCAATTCAGGGCACCTGGTCGCACCATCAGTGGCGATATGGGGTACCCAAGGCACCTCACGGAAGAACCTTGATTGTTCTCCAGTAGCTAAACATAGAGCAAAATCGATCCTGGAAAAAATCGTGAGCATACCCAAGGATAGAAGAAAAAATCAGGTTGTTCTTTACCCACCTCTGAGCCTTGTGCTCGACCATGCTGCCCTCGCCAAGAGCAGCCAGCCCACCACGCAGCTGGATCAGACGGTACAGGCCGTCCATGTGTGCCTTGAGCATTGTGAAATCCTGGAGCATGATTGCTGATGTGGCTAGCGAAACGATGACGGCCATTGTTGCATTGCTGGTTGAAGAACCCTCGGACTGAAGATACTGTTGAAGATAAAACAGGGCCTTGGCAAGATGCCACCGAGCGGCATCGCTGTAGGTTACGTCCAAGGTCGTATCATAGAGACACTGGGCCGTGAAGAGCATCGAGTGGACGAGACCAGGGTTGTGGGCGATGTTGTCGAAGCAGTACATGGTCTGTTGTGGGCCAGCAACAAGCGCATTCTCAAGGCTGAACGTTGCCGGCTTGATTAAGGTGAAGGCTGTAAGAGAAGGGAAAATCATTACATTTGGGATCCTTGGCCATTGGAAAAATACTAGAATAGCACCCACCTCGATAAATCAGATCCAGCATGTGAGGGGTGAGGTCCATGTCGAAGCCGGCGAGAGACAGCTCAGCCGCAAGCCTGCCAGAGGACTTGGGAATCCACTCGGCCACATCGCCTTGGGCTTCAAGAGTCGCCCGGGACAGCTTGCGTTCCGTCCAGCGGGAATTGTCGTCGGCCATCAGGCGGGCTACTTTCCGCTGCCGCTTAGCATCGCGGGTGTTCTTGTCGCGCATAACATGGCTGCGCATTACCCTTCTGGTCGCCTCATCGGGCTGGTCGAGCGAGGTGGAGACAATCCACAGCGGTTTGGTCACTTTGAAGGTTAGGGGTCTCATTCCTGCTGGCTGAAGAAAATATATGATGTCGAGGGGCTCGCCTACTTGCTGAGGAAGAAGACAATGCAAGAATGTCCAGCCGGCGGCTTAAGGGGGAGACTCTGGCGTTTCCGGATAGAGACTGGGTCGCAAAACACTGCCGTCGGTGAGGTTACATGCGTGGGATGCGTCTCACGAGATACGCGACGGGCATGATTCAGACTCCGAAATTCTGGTCAGCTCATCGGCAATGCGCGCCAAGACCGAATTTCGAACTGTTTTGGGACTAGCCTGCCAAGCCTAGACTGCTGGCCACTTTAAGACTAGCGTCTTTTCACAGGAAGCATCAGGCTGGTGATCGACCTTGAGAGAGGCTATGTAGGAGGAATCTGGAGAAGCGTGCTCTTTGGAATGTCATCGTGCCTTGTGTCTCCCGATATCTCCGTAGAGCTCATCATGTATAAGAAGGCTGGTTTGGCGATGATAAACTCTGTAGCCCAACAACAACCCATCACCACTTACACGCGATTATATCCAACTTGTATCCCTAACAATCACCTTCTCACTCAATCTCTAAGTGACCAAGCCCCTAGCTTTATCAATGTTCTTCAGCAAGAGTGTATTGTTCGATCCATCAAAGGACATCCCTTCTCTGAAAGGAAGGGTGATTCTTGTCACTGGAGCCACCACAGGGCTTGGTAAACAATCCGTTTTCGAATATGCCCGACATGACCCAGCCCAGATATGGCTTTCGGGACGAACTCTTGAAAAGGCAACCCAAGCCGCACAAGACATCATTGGAAAGGTCCCTGGAGCAAATATCTCACCGCTCGAGATGGATCTGACTTCATTTGATTCAATCAGAAAGGCGGCCCAGACCGTCTTATCACAATCTCAGCGACTTGACATCCTGCTACTCAACGCAGGCATCATGGCTACCGCCGAAGGCCTGACAAAAGATGGATATGAGATTCAAATGGGCACCAACCACATGGGACATGCTCTTCTCACCAGACTATTACTCCCTCTTCTCGAAAAGACAAAGAGTTCACATGCTGATGCCGACGTCCGTGTCATCTCCCTCTCTTCATACGGCCACACACAAGTCAGCGAGAAGATGGGCTTCCGATTCGATACCCCAAAGACCACAGCCGAATCCCTCGGGGCCTACGGCAGATACTTCCAAAGCAAGCTTGCTAATGTCCTCTTCGCACGGCAGTTGGCCAAAGAGTACCCTCAGCTGATCACAGCGTCCGTCCATCCAGGCCTCGTTTCTACGGACCTTATGAACAGGTCTTCGGGGACCCCAGCTATATTTCGATCGATCTCCAGGATCTTCCCGAAGAAAACTGTGGAAGACGGGGCGAAGAACCAGCTCTGGGCCTCGGTGTCCAAGGACGTGACCAGCGGCGAGTATTATGAGCCCATTGGTGTTCCAAACATGGCTAGCAAGTTTGGCAAGGACGATGCGTTGGCAAAAAAGGTTTGGGACTGGACGCAGAAAGAATTGGACCTGTTTCTTGCCTAGGACAAAAAATCCTGATGTGGATTTATATAACGCCTTTATAGTAGCCCTCATAGGCTGAAGATTCTACCTTCTTTGTTATCAACGTTATGGAATGTATAAGTCAATTTAAATACAATGACTCTAGTTTTAATCAATAATTCAAAATGTTTCAACAGCTATATAATTGAATTCTAGATGAACGATACTGACTAGGCAGTCAAATGGAGTGATTGCCACGATATATCATGCCTCTTACTTATAGCCTCTCAGAATCAATACAATACCATAAAGCACCAGCTAAGTAACTTATACACATATAAGCAACATGAATAGTATAGGAACTAAGATGAATTGGAAAGCTAGAGTCTGATAGCCAAAGCTTGCGCTTTACGAGAGGTAGTGTCAGCATTAAACGATGATCATGCTTAAGATTGGTGGTTGAACTTTGAATGAAGAACAAAAGATAAAGGTCAATTTCCTTTCACGCCATGTATACTGGCTGGAAAAGAGAGTTCGTCTCGAATAGTGAACCATGGAATGCAAGAGACAATTACCCTCACAAGCTGAAGCCTATAAAGTTAGGATTGGAAGGCTAAAGTTTACGAGGCATTGAAAAATCCCGTTAGCTACGTCAAGCGTCGAAGAAAGAGATATCAGCAACCCTTAAGTCCTATATACAAAAGTTTCACAGTGATGACTCCTTTGCCGTCGGACTAAGCCGCTCGTCATTTAAGTGAGAAAATCAAGTAGGTTATGGAATAGTTGCTGAATAGAAAGGGGGAGCAACATCTAAACACTAAGATATCCCCAAATTGAGGCTATCCCTAGCATCATAACATATCTAACTAAGACATCAAAGTTCAGCCTTTCCGCCCGACGATAAGGCTTGCGCCCGGACGTGCCTACATAAGCTCAAACACTAACAATAGCTTGTGCTCGGCAACGTGACTCTTTGCCCAGCTTGACCCCCTTTGTCGATCTTAAGACCTTTCTTTCTACTTATTTAAAGGTCAGCCTAGCTCGGCAAAACTGCATATCTCCAATTCATCTCGTACTTGCGAAGCCCGTATATTGCTGCTTTCGTTGCTTTGCACATCGCTGCTCGGGCAAACAATCTACCAAGTCTGTGCTTGAAGCCGCTCTCTGGGTCCGCTACAAGGCGTAGCCCCTTCCGTCTGTGCACTTCCTCTCACATCATCTATCACTTCTCGTCATCTCGGTATCCTGGCAGCTCATTTTAGAGCTAGTTCTGGCACCCGCATCAAAGAACCTCCGGAAAGTCGAAAATGTTGAGGGATACAATAAAGCGAGTGCTCCCCGTGTCAGTGCGGCGGACGGTTCGACGGGCAGTTCCTACAACAGCGATAAAACCCTATAGTCATCGATCCTATGATATCTCCGAGAACGCGGCCCTCGCTTATCCGACACACAGGTGCGACCCCTGTATGGACGGTTTACCGGATCCTCCCACTCTGCCGCCATCTTATGAAATCGAAGCCTCTGTCAAAGCGCTCGGTCTGCCCAAACCCCAACAATTTCAGATACTCCAAGAAGTGGACGCAGTTATGGGGCGATTGACTGCTAGTCTCCTCGGCATTGTGGACGATTCATGCGACATTTTAGCTCTTTCTTCGGCTATTCGCTATGGCTGCACCGAAGCTGCTGCAGTCATCAGCCAAAGTGGCGCTCCTCAGTCTGAGCATGAGCTAGACCACTTGATCTATGAGTCTCGGGGCAAAATAATCAACTCTGTGACTGCGGCTGCAAGTATTGTCCCCCTTGGGAAACAGGTGGAAGTGGCTGTTGCCGCGGCTGCTGCTATCACAGAGGTATCGTATAATACGCTCCGGAAAACTCAAGAGAAGTATTTTAGGGAAGGGCATACATCAGTTCAGGCCATTGTCGCACTAGGGGGCGCATTTTCTGCGGCTTCATGTTTGGCGGGCCAAGCGCATAGCACGGCAGGGAATATTGCTCAGCGTAGACTCTTGCTCTTAGCTACATGGTCTCGTTGGTCAAAAGAGGATAGGGCGGAGAAACGACGTTTTTTGCCAACTCTGAGACATCACAAATTCATATAAGACCTGATATTTGATTTCATATATATTTGCAGGCGTATATGACTTTAGCGGTTACAAGGACAGAAGGGATGGGAGGAAATCCCTAGGTAATCTCAGACTTGATAACACACTAAGCTCATTAGATCCCGGGTATGGCTAGTTGGATGTTTCACGTACTTAAACAATCAGAAGGTTCCTTCATAAAGAGATAAGATGGTCGAGTGGGAAGACGTTGACAGTTCGCTATGGTTGGGCTCTCCTAGCAAGTGCGGGCTTGAGGGGTTGCAACGGCGAACAGGCGCATAAGCTCGTGACTTTTATTCCTCCTCTCACAATTTTTTTTCACTTTGCAATTCTTTGATAGCCGTACTTTATTTCAAAATCCTTGGAGAATAGTGCCAGCCACTACTTCGCGGTGCAAATAATGACATTTCGATGAGATCGTTGTCCATTGCTCATCTGGTAGCTTTGATGAACATGTATTAAGCATTGCGTTTCTATAACGTTTCATTAATTAAGTTTTCGTATATGTGCTAATGCTACACAAGAGCAATTTGCTATATATAACCACGCGTTATAAACTGAGCAACTGCTGCAATTCTTACAGCTCCTTAGATGTCACGTGTTTTGGTGTATGTACCTGAATAACGAAGTTGTTTTGAGACTGACACCAATGACACCTTGAAGCGTCGAAACAATTTGTGGCTTGTAGTTCAGAAATCATAGTCTCAATGATATTTCATGGCCTTGCTTAGAGACTTTCTGCAGCTATGTAATGCTTCGGCTGATAAGGCTCTTCCAGATAGCTGATTTCATCGTCATCCAATTGTTTCCCGCGCACACCCAGAGCCTGGTCGATCCTCTCGACCTTACTGAAGCCAATGATAGGGCTAACAACTCGTCTCAGAGACCACAAAAGAGCGACCTGAGACATCGGCCAGCCACGCTTATTCGCAATCTCTTCCACTCGCTTGATGATCTCAACATCCGCGCCTGTCAAAGATTCACCACTAAGTTGGCTCCTCAGTGTAGAACCTTTGTGAGTAAGAGGTCTCGCCAGGTTACCTCGTGAAAGGGGAGCCCAGGGGATCACACCTACTCCGGTATCGTCACAAAACCGAAGCATCTCACGTTCCTCTTCTCGATAAAGCAGATTATGTTGGTTCTGCATACTGATAAACTTCGTCCAGCCATTGCGTTCGGCAACAGCCTGTAGACGGGCAAATTGAGTCGCGTACATGCTACTGGCGCCAATATAGCGAACCTTGCCAGATTGTACTAGGTCATGAAGAGCTTTCATAGTTTCCTCCATTGGCGTAGTCGTATCGAAGCGGTGAATTTGCAAAAGATCGATATACGGCGTGTTTAACCTCTCTAGAGACGCTTCAACCTGATTGAAAATAGCAGTACGCGATAGACCATACTGATTCTGGTAGTCTTTGGAGCGTTCAAAAGATTCTCTGTTCAACCAGTGGAGCTCATCTGTATAACTTATCAGTTTCTAAGCCAATCATGGTGGGTTGTGTGAGGTACCGAGAGCTTTGCTAACACCCCAAAAACACTTCGTGAGAATGACAACTTTCTCGCGAGGAATTTGATATTTCTCTAGAGCTTTACCAATGATAATCTCAGAGGATCCGTTGCTGTAAGCGTTGGCAGTGTCCCAAGTGTTTAGACCCCTGTCGTACGCGGCCTTGAACAAAGGCAGGGCCTAGTCTGATGTTGGCCAAGATACTTTCTGAAAGGGTTGGGCACAGACTCACATCCTCCTCGGCAATGGTCCATGGCATTGACTTTTGGTCGCCAATACTCATAGCCCCAAAGATAGGAATTGATACTCTAAGGCCGCTATTCCCTAACCTGCGATACTCAGCCTTGGTATCCGATAGAGATTGTTGTAGGGTTGGGATAACGGTCGACATGCTGGTTGTTGATACCTCGAAAATGAGATTTGATGATCTCAAGTTTCAGTGAGTGATTGTTTCTTTTACTTTTTGCTAGGTAAAATAGTTGGAATGTGTTTGATCTGAACTGCAGAAGCTATGGGTTGATAAGCCAACGGTACTGAAACATATATAAAAGTTTCGGTGTAAAGCAACGCAGTTCTCCATTTTTTCCCCGTCAGCCAGTTGCATGGCTAAGTGGACCAACGAATGACATCGAATATCACACTGATGGCAGAAAAAGATCCTAATTAGATCATAATGTGGGTGCGTCACGTTATGTGAAATGTTACTAGGCAGTTTGCGCTGTAGTATACTTCGAAACCGGGCTCCCAATGGCGAAAGGTTGGTTTGGAAGCTCTCGGACTCATGAGAAGCTCATCGCGTCAGACTTAATCTGAGGGGGGAATGTTCGGATAGATGTGGTGTAATGAGAGATTCTGTATCTATTCACATCTCAGCGCAGTGAACTGCCCAAGTTACCCAGGCTGCACTGATACCTTGTGCATGTTGAAGACAGCAGATCTGGCCTCGGTCACATTGGCGGATGCTAGGGGTACTACGGCGGCTTGTTTCAGCACATGTTCAACATCTAAAATCAGAACGAACGATGGCATTCTGCATGAAACTGATGCCACATTGAAGTGTCTACCGAACTACTACGGATAAAGCTTAGTTGGTGCGTCAGCCAGTTGCATTAGTGCCAACTTGAGCGCTCCGAATGCCGAAGAGGTGACAAAAGGTGGAGTTTATGATAATTTGAAAACCAACGTCCATCTCGCCCCTACCCACTTACATGACCATGCTTGAGTTATGGTAAGTGAGGGAGCTGTACAGCTGCTGAAAAAAAAAGGGGAAATTCCCAGATACTAGTAATTTGATAACTTAATACTATACCCAGGTATTATAATATAATAAACTTCAGCCTTATAGCTATAAGCCTTATATCTAGCTATATCTAAGGTTTAATATCAAAATAACTATACTTATATTATATATAAGGTTTATTAATATTAAAAGCTATATCTAGTAGTAACTCTTTTACTGGTATAACTCCTTTTATAAACCTTAAGATACTAATTTTTATCTATAAAGGTTACTATTATTAGTCTGATCCTAAATAAACTATATAGCTTAAGTCTATATTAATAATTTATAAATTACTACTCTTAAATAATCTAAGTACTATTACTATCTTTATTACTCTAAGATAAATTAAGTACTATTACTATCTTTATTACTATATAATACTACCTTTACTATTAGTTAACTCTTATATATTATTACCTTTATTATTCTACTAACTATTAGATATATTAAGCTTTACTTTTAAGATAGATAGGAACTTATATATACTTAAGTCTATATATATATATATATATACTATAATAGGAAAGAAGAAAGTAAACTAATAATAGATACTAGTAGTAGCCCTATATATCTAGTCTAGCTAGCTAGATACTAAAGATATTATAACTTAGCTAAAGGCTAATATAAGTAATTCTAAGCTTATAGGATCTACTAAGGCTATAGGTAAACTAAAGATTAAAGAGCTTTTAAAGCTTAGTATAGAATAGGCTATTAAGCTATTTAAGCTAGATAGTAATATTCTTAGCTAAAATAATTACTTTAAAGAGAAGTATTTTATAATAGGGAGTTCGCTAGAGGATAAGTATAGCCCTTAGCTGATTTATCTGATATTAAAATATAATTTATTACAGATAGGTGATTATAACTGCTGCTACCTCTAGCTGTTTTATTACTATTTTTTTTTTTTTTTGGAGTTATTACTGTATATAAGGGAGATATCCTGAGATCAGGCTATATATAATAAGATCTATATAACTTATTTTTTTACTTATTTATAGTCTATAYCTAACCTTTAACTCTATTCYTTATACTTTACTTCTTATATAAGCTATAGTAAGRTAATAGCTTTATTAAAAAACTCTAATAAGATCTTACTAAGTATATAACTTAGCTATAGGCCCTAAGGGGGGGATACTTATTAATTATAATTAACTATAAGACTCTAAGTAAGTAAGTATATAAGTATACGAGTAAGTAAATAAATAAATAAGCTTATTATTACTAATTACTAACTAACTATAGCTAACTAACTAAATAAATAACTATATAATATCTCCTTATAATAATAATAATAGCTTTTTCCAATATAATTATCTTAAGTAGCTAAGGTCTGGTTATAGTAAGGGATTATATTCTTATATATATAATAAAGATAATTAATAATAACCCGCAGGTTATATATAATAAATATATCTAATATTAGAGTTTGTACTTAGTAATAGGACTCCTTATAGTATTAAAGCTGCTTATAGATATATAAGCTCAGTAGTTATAGCTACTTAGCTTAATACTTTACTATAAAGCCTGTAGAGAGTTATTAGTACCTTATACCCTGTACTAAATACTGGTAGATAATAAAGAGGGGTATAATAGGCTATATCTTAATAACTAAGTACTTAATAATTATAATAACTAGTAATATAGTTTCTGGTTCTAGTATATTATATATTATATAGAACTTATCCGAGCGGAGGCTACTATAGTCTAAAGTATTAGTTTAAGTTAATTTCTAATTATATTTGGGTAGAATAGGATTAACTTGATTAAAATTAAGTTAAATATCGGATAGTAGAAGTTTATCGGAGGGAGAAGTTAAATTAAGAAAAGTTAATCTGCTGGTATTAGTTTTATAATATATTAGTAGTTACTAGAGTTTATAAATAAAAACGTAATAGCTAATTATAAGTTGCTATATACTGATTGAATGATATAATATAGTTCTATACGATGGTTTTATTACTATAAAGATAGCTACTGAGGTTACCTAGGTTGGAAGAAATATAACTGGGGAGGGGAGGAGGAAAATAGGGTGAGGGATAGATAGCTAGGTAAGCTAAATATAAGCCTACTGTCTCTCTCAAATATACGAACGTATATATATACACTTGTCCTCGTAGCCCCCCCCCATGCTTGAGTTATATCGTCAGCCAGTTGCATATGGCACCATAGTGACAAATCATGGATAACATGGAAACGCAGCCAGAAAGTCATGGCAAGATTGCTATTTCGTCATTGGTTGGATTGGTTCAAATGCGTGATTCGGGGGATGACTGGACTGGAATGACTAGCTGGCATGAGAGAAGGAAACGGCAGAATCGCCTGAGTCAGAGAGCCCACAGTAAGTCTGTCTCCGAGGACACACGCGAGTTTTTACTAGTACGTAAGATGTTAATGACAAACAGCCCTCACTGTGTTGCATCTCACTGTATAAAGGTTAAGAGGCTTTTTTATTAAGGCTAACCTCTTCTAAACCCTGCTTTCCTTATATCTTCTCCTTCCTTCTTATTAGTACTACTGGCCACCCTACTTATTCTGTTTATTAATAGTATTATACTAGAATAATAATACCTTTAGCACCAGGAACTGGAACTACTCTAACCCCTTATTCCTTAATACCGAGATAGCCTTAGAACTAAGTTTATTCTTAGGTATATACCTAAGGATATCCTCCCCGAAATAATATAGAGCTTTAATCTGCTCCTTATAGAAGCTATTCAGCTTAAGTTAATCTAGCTTATTAACCTTCTCAGCTTTAATAGCTTTTATAAAGCTAGTAAGCTTAGGGTTACTAGTACTAACTCTAGGCTTTATAATTATTATCTTATTACCTTCAAGGGAAGGTATTATAATCTTATTCCTTATTATATTTAATAGCTGTAGATATATTAGTATCAGTACTCTGGCCAAGGGGCTACTGGTACTTACTGGGTTAGTTAACTTATACTTAGTATATTAAAGTATTTGGATTAATATAATAGAAGATAAGTATACGAAGGAAGCTGGGTAATAAGGGCAGCTTTAATAGTTATTTGATGTATAGCTTATCCTGATAGTAAGTAAGTTATCAGTATAAAGATTTAGAGAATTTTCTGCTGTATAACTATAGTCTTAAGCTAGTAAAGCTTCCTTTATTAACCTTTCGTATTCATTATATTAAGTTTATTAGGTCTGATATCTTCTTTATTTAACTTTCGATCTAATCTCCTCCGTTAATGACAAACAGGGCGGAAAAGAAAGGAGCATGGTGATAGACCCATCTCCCAGGATGTAGCTGAGGCGACCAAGCGCTTTCTGCAGGCCACCAAGGCCCCCCTCAACGACTTCGTAAGGGTGGCCCTTGAACCAGCCCTCGGTAAGGCCCAGCTCAAAGAATGGGAAGAAAACGGCACCGAAGGTACCATACCCAGCAGAAGGTCGCTCCGTGTGCACCGTGCCAGCGTTGGTGAGCAGGACTTCGGCATTGCCAGGATCCTCCTCGCCGCACGTCGTCATATCTGGCTTCAAAACTACTGTGACCCTGCCCCCTTCACCTAAGACCCTGCCGATGTTGGTGGTGCTTCCTTTCTCGGAGCCAGCATCAAAAGCGTGGACGACACCGCTGCCGGCCACCTTCCTTAGGTCCTCGAAATACTGGTTGCCAGACTGAGATGTGGCAGTTGAACGGGAAGACAAAGCCATTGAGCCATGGCAAGCCAAGAGTTGCTAACGAGGTCTATAGACTGGTTGGACTAGTTTTGCTTCGCAATCTATTCGATAGGTAGAGTCATATCCATCTCGTCCTTGCTAAAACATCTTTCTACATACTTGGCAAATCGGCCCGGCAAAAAAATGAGGGGTCAATCTTTCGAGGTTGTGTCTCGAGGGTGACAATGTCTCCTTTCAAGTTATAACCCCCCCTCGCATTAGGCTGGGCAATAGCATAACCTCTAGGACACCACGCGGCAGGGTCGGGAGCTTTCAACTCCTCCACGCCGCTTGGGCAACTCTTTAGGATCCCAAGCTAGGCAAAGTCGATTGTTTGCACATGGTATCAAAGAAAATGTAAGTATACTAAGAAAAGACCCTAGAGACATTTAGTTAGATCTGACGGCTGACAAGGGAAAGCTGGAGTGGTAATATTGGATATTTGTAGGGGGGGTTAATGGACGTGCAGTTGAGAGGAGAAATGCGATAGAGCCTGTTAAATGGGCAGTATTGGCAGCAACGACGCATGGGGAACATGAAACCTGGGCAATCGCAAAGCAATTTGGCTAGTGGTTCAGGATGTATTTGACTAAGGTCTTACAGCAAGACTGTCATCGTCTTCCTAAGCCTGTACACTTGCGCTGTGCCTTTTGGACTGGCTATTTCATTTATAGTTGTCCAACTGGCGGTGTACGTGCACTGACGATGAATGATTAAGGGCCGTCAAATTATGAGAATGTGTCATCTTATAATGTACCTCTTCTATCCACTAGGTATAATAAAATACGACATCCTCATGTCATGCGAGCTGGCGGAACCTAGGACTGAGCCACCATAACGCCACGATATCTCATCTTGCCGTCACGAAGCTTCTGCACGGCTTCCACAATACCGTCCTTTGTCATGGGGAACTCTTCAATCTGGGATCGAATGTTCTGCCTAGCAGCAAATGCAAGCATGGCTCTCACAGAAGAGGGAGACGCAATACCTGAGCCGATGATCTGGATATTACCCAAGATAAGGGTCATTGGGCTAATGCTGATCTCCGAGGGGCTCATCGTCAGGGGGAACACAGTCACCCCCATGGACAAGATGGGCAGAAATCTTGAGAGTGGTTCTGTAAGCTATTGCCTTTCTCGCAAGGGAAGTTGTAGAGCGATACTTACTTCTTGAGATCTGGATTGGCACTAGTAGTGATCAGCAGAGTTTGAAGCTTCTTGATCTTAGAGAAATCCGCGGAGTCATCTGTGAGATGGAACTCTGCAGCTCCAAAGTCCAGTGCGGCCTGCTTCTTGGCTTCAGTTCTTGAGAATACAACGGGCACCATCCCTAGCTTGGAAGCAAACTGAATAGCTAGATGGCCGAGCCCACCAACACCAATAATACCGACACGGTCACCTGCTCGGAGACCGGTAGAGTATAATGGACCCCAGACACTAGCACCCGCACACATCAACGGTCCTGCATCTTTGGAGGCGATTTCCTCTGGGATGTGGAAGAGGGTTGAGACATCCCAAGCAACTTGGGAAGCCAGACATCCTTGATCAAAATCAGCAGTACTATACATGGTCATGTTTTCACATCTATCCTGGCGGCCTGTACGCAATCACTTGTTAGCTTGCAACTCAGGCTTTCAATTGATTCACTCAGGTGTTTTCTTTCTCCTTGTCGAGTCTCACCTTTGACGCAAGAGTCACAAGTTCTGCAGAACTTATGGAACCAGCCGAGGCCGACTCGGTCCCCTACTTTGAAGTCGGAGATCTCTGAGACTGCTGAACCAATCTCGGTGATGGTGCCAACGCCCTCGTGGCCAAGGCCCATGTCGGCTCCTAGAAAGAGCTCATCTGTGCCACAGAGACTGCAGTGAGAGATCTTGACAACCGCTTCAGTAGGCTTCAGGTCACGGTGACCCTTGGACTCGACAATCTCCCCGGTGCTGGATCCCTTGAAGACAGTGAAGTCGATACTCATGGTTGCGGATGGATGGGTGGATGGCTGTAACTGGACTTGAAAAGGTGGTGCAATTAATCTGCTGAGATTGAGGGACCAGATGAAAAGAACATATGGCGGTGTATAACTCCTTAATAGCTATTTTCTAGGTACAGTGTCACTTCCCCGGTGCCTTCTGATAACCAACTATGTGTCCCCAGTAAAACCCTGCACGAGGAAGCACGATGTTGGTTGTTGGCCGTTTGGAAGACTGCCTGTACGCATGAAGAAGCAAGCTAGTAGGACTTCATGTAGATTGTACACGTAAGACGCCTAGGTCCTTGGCGATCCTTGTTGGCCGGGCTAGGGTACATGGAGGACTGTAACATTGCAGACGCAAGGTGTTGGGTATCCATTCCTTCAGAGTTCTGTCTGCCTCTGTAGTCTCCCCTCTCCCTCGAGAAAGGTGCAAGTTGGGCTCGGTTGATCTCGCACTCACTCGCGTACATAGGTATGTATCATGTCGAGCTAGACCTCGGCGGTTTCCCCTCGCAGCTTGGCTCCTTTAGGATAGCAACTTGAGACCACCGGTGGATAAAGAAGTTTTTTATGACATGGTACAGCTGTGTGCTCGTTGGTCAGAACAGCATGTTGGTAAGCGGAGGGTCTTTGGTCTTGACCCCTGACTCCCGGTCGTAAAACTCAACGACGAAGCCTAGCAGCATTGTATTCGTATTTTCTCAAATAATTTGACCCTATCTCCCCGGTTGTTTGGACCTAGATCTTCACCCTTCATGCAAGTCTCCCAATTAAGATGATACTCCTGAATCCTTCCGAAAAAGCCCTAAAAGCCTGATAGTACAGCCTGTGTACCACGAGTTGAATTTGAACTAATGGCGTATAGAGATGAACAGGACACCGCTAGATTAACGGAAGGATTCAGAAGTCTCCCCTCCATGGGTGGGCTGCATCAAACGTGGCTCCAGAAAACCGAGAGCAAAAAAGTCGAATTCTTCGAGAACATACGGTATCAAGTCCTTATCTCTCTAGATTGAGAGTGACCCAGAAATCAGTTCCCACACCAACCGCTGGTTCCAAGTTGTCGGTATCTTCACTGATACAAGAGGAAGGTTACGGTGCCGTCGCTCTATCGTGTCTTTCCTGGCAGGCAATGACTTACCTTACCCGTAGTCCATCAGTGATCTTCCTTTGGTAGAAACAGTTGTCAATTGAGAAGGTTTCACCGGCTATCGCGGGGTAGTGATCGTACGACCTGCCTGGCTAGGCAGGTAATATAACTGGTAATATAACATGACCAGCCTCCCTGGCTCTCTGCCCGCGTCCGCATCCCGATTCCCCTGACCCTGGTCCTGGCCCCTGGCCCTGCTCTCCATCCGTCTCCGCGGATTGTGCCCTTAGTGCCCGCAGGGTGACTACCTTGTTTTAGTATGGGCTATTAAACCAATCTCAATGGATATCTCGGACCGTGTAGTGCCATCTAGGGTCAGGGCCCAGGTCCGAACACCCAAAATCACCCGGATTTCTCACCAAAAACCTTGTTCGCTCTTGTGGGTACTCACTCCATCACCTCCTGCCAAGAGTTGGTGGCCTAATCTCATGGTCTTTGACATGCCGTTCCTCGCCACCTCGCCACGTACCAATTGTGCAGACCTTCAAGAGGATTAGCGGGTTAGAATATCTAGGCAAGCTTTGTGCTCAAGACCAGCTAGTATCTCTTTGAAGCAGCTAGAGCAGCAGTATGTATCCGTAACTTGTAGGGGTTTGATTAGTGTGTTGATGTGAGGACATCATCGGATAAGAGATACCTATATTTTTTGGAGATCGTATCACTAGAATGGAAGTACCGCTGATCTGTAGCCTACTTTTCTGAACTTCGCCACCAATTGTAATTCCATCTGAAATTCGACCCTAGAAAGGCTTAATAAGTACCTGATTATACTCACTATACTCTGTAAAATAGTGGGGAGACACATTACTGCTGCTCTAGCTGCTTCAAATGCTTCAAAGAGATACAATGCCACCTATAGAGGCGACAGTCGTTGTATCAAGAGCGAGGAGACCCAGTTTCAATAGAGTTTAGATAGAGTGAGGATGGGATTCAAGCACAACGAGTCGTTAACTGGTCAAGTGTACATGGCTTAGAATGATCATCATCATTCATGGTCTCTTCTCTGCCATCAATAGGTATTAAAATTACTTTGGTCTTCTAACGCCAGCGCTATGTCAGGAAAATAAGAACAAGGCGCCGAGCTATGCTGAATAAAACAGTATGATACAAAGTAAGAAAAGGCAGAGACACAATTCTTTCTCTCCCAAAGTCGTCATTACGATCTGGTCACCACGATGTCCTTTCTGACCTCAATCTGCCCTGGGTGATAATACTTTGGCCTTAGAGCCTCCTCTTCATTCTCTCCATGGAGCCGTTCGAATCGGTGACTGCTGTTTTGGGTTCTGTCCGTCAGTTCCAACCCGTCAGACTTTGATGACATGCCCATCCTGGTCCCTGTACTCCGCTGTGATACCGTGGTCTTTGCTGTGCGTACCACGCGTTCGAGCAGCGGGCGATACATCATCATGGAGACAGAGATGAGATAGATTCCGGGTTCTACCACAGTCCAAATGACAAGTCCGACGGCATTCCAGGTAACGTCGGGGAATAGGTGGTTCATGGCAAACTCCCTGAATCGCATGATCGATGCGACCAGACCGCTTTCATGCAAGGTTAGAATGGGTACATCTATGGAGAAGGGTGAGAGAATGAATGGGACTGCTTCATGGACATACCTTCCCCCAATCAGGAACGTGACAGTCAACGCGGCCTTGAGGTTGTTGGATAGTTGCAGCTTCCATATAACAGGAAGAGGGAGGGCAATCAAGGCCAAGTCGGTGATGATGTTTGGCAAGCTGATCCAGAGAAACAACTTCATCTTGTCGAAACAATGGGTCTGTTGCATTTCTAGCGGCCCCCAATTCACCCAAAACGGCCGACAAACAACAAAGAGAAGAATGGTCCCGACAATACTCTGCAGAATGAGAATGGCAGCAACGATCCATATGCTGATGTACATGAGTCGCTGCGGGAACAATCGTCGGTACACGACAAGAATAGCGAGCTTAGCGAGGCTCATTGTCACTGTATACCAGATGGAGATGGCCACAAGATACTTGAAATAGTTGGTGATCTTCTCGGGGTCATGCGCGGCATGGTATTCGATATGGTAGCCAACTCCTCCCTGCAACACAACGCCTACACCAAGCAACGATGATTAGACCTGACCAGCGACCACGCCCAAGCCCGCGAGCACTTACCTATGGCTAATGCAGATGCGACTATCTGGGTAAGAAGAGAGGCTATAACAAGCCAATCGTCCCAGTCATACCCCTTTCTGTTCAGGCGTTGCGCCCAGAATCGCAAAGCAACAAAAACCACCTGGATGGGGATGAAGAGGGCGCTGACAACAATGGCTTTCCATCCAATGTATGTGGAGTCGGGCTCCATGGTTGCAACTGATGGAACCCAAGGAATGTGAAAGGAAAACGATAAAGGAATGACCGACAGAGTCGGCGTCTTCTTGATTCAAAAGAGTCTTGCCGCGTAGATGTTATTGACAGCAGAGCGCGCGTCGGAATGGGCGGTCCACACAACTTACATACGACCCAACCCATGTGGCTTATGTTACACTGGGAGTAGGGAGGATTGTGATGCCTGTTGGCTTATGCTTGCCAAATATGTACAAAAGTAGAGAAGTGATCTGTCTTATGTGCTACTAAACGGAGGATCAAGACTCGAGCATGCAAAGTAATAGAACTTTTTTTCTTTAACCTAAGGTAAATCACCGTATGAACTCAAGCCTGAACCCCAGCCGGATCAGTTGTTCTGGTTCGCCCACTCCTCCATCCACTTGCGCATCCACGTTGAGTGCACTGCTGGTAGCGACTGCAACGCGGGACTGAGATCAGTCGCACGGCCAACTTGCATAAGATTGCTTTGAATCCCATCTGCCCACAAATTGCGAGTGTAGAAGTCAAATAGCCTGAGCCCGGGGTTCTTTGCTGTTGCCTCAGTGAGCTTATTAGCATCGCCGTCAGCGTTGAGATCGGCAAGACTCTTGCGTAACTGCTCCAACCAGAGAGTGGGTGAAACAAGTTCTAGACCCTTGCCTTGTAGTTCCTTGGCGGCCTGCAGAACCGTTGGAGTGAGACCCGCCCAGGGGGTAACCTGGGGGTTTCTCAGGTTGAATACCTGTGCCCCTGAACCTTTATTCTCCTCCTCGCTCCCTCCGGTCGTGACATCTACAATAACATCACCAAAAACGTCCGATGGAATCCAGTCAATCTCGCCCAGAGCGCCAAGGCTGTCCGGCAGGCTTCCCAGGTACAGTGAGCTGCCGATGAGGCTGGGGAACCACTCCGTTGGATTCCAAAGACCTTTTTGGCGGGCAGGGCCGGCCATCTGCCCAATGCGGACAACTATAGCAGATATTCCCAGATGCTTGGCTGCTGCATCCAAGATGTGCTCCGATATATACTTGCTCTGCCCATAGCCTTGGTTGGTGGCTGGAGGCGTATCTATGATACTTTCGGGAGCATTCTTGCCTTTCCCGGAAATGACTGCGGCTATCGATGAGGCAAACACGATTTTGGCAGGCTGGTGGGAACAGGCAGCTGCCAGAGAGCAGAGATTGACAACGCCCTCCAAGTGAGGGCGGAAGGCCTGTAGCTCAAAAATGAAGTTTACAGGCCATGCCATGTGAATGATGACACTAACACGACGAGTGAGGTTCTGGTATACATCATCGTCCAGCCCAAGCTTAGGGGAAGCTAGGTCCACCTTGAGAAAGGTCACTCGCGTCTCAAGCTGGGTGGCATCGCCGATTTTTCTGGCTTGTGCAGCCTTACCGCCATCCTCAGCACGATTAAGACAGAAGATGTGGCCAATATCTTCACGGTCCAGAAGTGACTGCAAGACGTATGCCCCCAAGTATCCTGTAGACCCGGTTAAGACGACACCGATGGGGTTCTGAACGGCCTTTTTACCAGCTGTAGGCACGGGAATGGACTTGACACGACTTGTAAATGTAGACTGGAGCGAGCTGATGAGGTCGGCATTACCATCAGATTTTGCTTGGCGCCCAACAGCAAGGGCCTCACTCAGCTGCTTCACTGTGGGATTCTTGTAAACTATGGAAAGAGAAAGAGTCGGGCGACCCAATCCCTGACGCAAAGCACGTGTGATCTGTAGCGCCTGGCGAGAGTCCAAGCCTTTGTCGAAGAAAGCATCTTCGTCGTCCAGAAGATCCCAGCCCGTCACTGATAGAAGCGCGTTGCGTACGATCACAGCGGTTGGGCTGTTCAGCTGCTGACCGGCCATATTGTCCGAATTTGGTAAGGCTTTCGTGATTGTCGCCGTGTAGGAGGATTTCACCCTACTGGTTGCTTGGCACTGATAGGCTGGTCCTGTTCAGCATCTGTTCTGTCCAGGTTTGGAAATAAAGAGACTGTTTCAAGGAGATGGAAGGACACCGGGTTGTTTGGTGTAAAAGCTTCTAGACCAGTTTATTATTAAACAGACTTACCTAGGCGTGGGCCCCGTCTTGAACGCCATCAGTAACCTCCATGGTCCATTGTCCCCTCGACAGGTCTCCGTACTCGTCCAGGCCCGAGGCAACCCGGTGCTCAATCCTTACTGCGTGTCTTGACGCCCGCAAAGGGCTAAAACCCAAAGATCATCGTTGTGGGAACTCTTGCTTTCACATGTACAAAGTGTGTACATGGAGAAGACAGGGGGTGCGAGTAACCCCGGTAGAAATTAGTTCAACAGGGACAGGGACTGAAGTGTGGTTGCATACATATATAGTACTCGTAAACATCACCAGTCATAGAGTACATAGGAGGTGGCCTGGACCCTGGTTATATCCTTGGCAAGGGAGCCCTCCGGATAAGCCCGACTTTTCCATAGACCCTTGGTCAGGCAGCTGCTAACCTTTTTAGTTCAAACCAGGTCGTCTACTAAATTGCCGTGTACACGTTTATATCCCTTGCGATTAGCTGGACGGATTTCGGTATGTAACGGATTTAGGTATAGACCGCAAGCTGGAAGACCCGTAGACGTTATCTACCTATTGAATGATGTATGAGACTTGACCCTGCAACAACACTCATTTGTGGGAATGTACAACTCATCAAGCATAAAAATTTTTCTAGATAGTATAGCATATTCAAACTTAGTGGGGAGAGGGATACATGCTCAGGTATGGAGAAGAAGCTAGAAAACGTTGCAGTTGAGTGTGTTTCCAGACAGCCGGGATAATAAGAGCGGTGGGCAGCCGCCTTGCTATCACCTTGACCGAGGATAACATCTGCTTCCAGGCTTGCAGAACCCTTTATTCAATTTTCAAACCTCATCTTGACAGACTTGACGGCCTTGAGAGACAATAAACTACTCAAGATGGACAGGCAACGCCCGATTAGCCCTTTGGCGGTAGTAGGCATCTCCTGTAGACTGCCTGGCGGTGCCAATGATACCGACAAGCTATGGGACCTATTGAAGGATGGTGTTGACACAGTAAGTTCATTCCATCGTAAACGTCTACCGTAGTAGGTACTCGTTTGATTCAGCCTCATCATCATCCCCAGCATCATCAGCTTCCCCCACCCCCTTGTCGATCCACGACACCCACACTTCATTTCCTAGATAGATTCCATCTATCAAAGTCGTCCGCTGAACATTCTCTTTTGGATAGTGGTCACCAGTACCAGAAGACCGGTTCAACGAGAGCGCATTTCATCACCCTAGTCCGGACGATCCCAACGGAAGCAACAACCACCGTGGTGGGCACTTTATTGATGCCAGCATATCAAGTTTCGATGCCTCCTTCTTCCGAATATCACCACAGCAGGCGGCTGTCATGGACCCCCAGCAGCGAATCCTGCTGGAAATGACTTATGAGGCACTTGAGAGCGCTGGCATGCCTCGTGAGCAATACAGAGGCTCGAATACTGGCGTATTCGGCGCTCTCTTCATCACCGACTTTAAACGTAACATGCTCAAGGACACTATCGGAAAGTCACCCTATACTCTGCTGGGAAATGAAGCGGCAATACTCACAAACCGAATTTCACATGCACTTGATCTACGCGGCCCGTCACTGACACTTGATACCGGCTGTTCTGGGGGAATGGTTGCTCTACATCAGGCATGCAACGCCCTGCACAGTGGAGAGTGCGAGACAGCTATTGTTGTATCCGGGAACATCACGCTGAGCCCTGACCATACAGCGGAAATGGCCAATCTACACTTCTTGAATAGCGACGGGCGTTCATATCCATTTGATAGCCGAGGAGATGGATATGGACGTGGGGAGGGCTTTGTTGTCATTATTCTCAAACGCATGCAAGACGCCATTGATGGTCGGTTTCCAGTCCAAGCCGTGATTCGAAGTACAGCCATCAACCAGGACGGTTACACCCCCGAGGGCATTACATACCCCAACAGCAAGGCTCAAGAGGACCTTATTAGATACACCTATGCAAGAGCTGGCTTACGGCCCCAAGACGTCTCTTACATCGAGGCTCATGGGACGGGAACGATGGCCGGTGATTTCCAAGAGCTTTCTGCCATTTCCAACACCTTCACAGGCGCAGGCCGCTCCTTGCCATTGATTGTAGGCTCGATCAAGGGCAATATAGGGCACACAGAGAACACCAGTGGTCTGGCTGGACTACTCAAATCGATACTTGTGCTCCAGCGCAAAGAGATCCCTCCCTTGGCTTGCTTTGAGAAACCAAAGCCGGGCCTACCGCTCGACCATATCAACCTGCCAACAACTCTATCACCCTTGCCCCAGGAATCAGGTCGACCTTCACTGGTTTCTATCAACTCCTTTGGCTTTGGGGGCACAAACGGTCATGCGATTCTAGAAGAGGCTCCCAAAGCAGCCGTCTCATCCGCTGACTGCTCCTCAAACAGTTCACCTCTTCTCTTCCATTTTTCTGCCGACTGCAAGGAATCGCTCTTGGCGACTATGAGAGATCATCAGTCATGGCTCAGTCTCCACCAGGACGCATCACTGGTCGATATCTCATACACCCTCTGTGAGCGCCGCACTGCGTTCCCATGGCGTTTCAGCTGCGTTGCTGAAACGCATGCTCAACTTGCAGAGAAGCTGGCCGACGGCGCGGCCGGCTCGATCCAGGCCACTCCTTCAAAGAAGACGAGCGTTGCATATGTGTTTACCGGTCAGGGTGCCCAGTGGATTGGCATGGGTCGTGAACTGATGAAGGGGGAGAACGGCACAGCTTCTGCATTCTGCGCTTCGATCCATGCTTCCACCAAGATTCTCTTGGCACTTGGTGCAACATGGAATCTTGAGGCGGCACTTACTGGAACTGGGGCAGAAGCAGAGTTGATCAACACGGCCGAGTTGGCGCAGCCTGTAACCACCGCTTTACAAAGGTATGTTCCTGAAACCAGTCTCACCCTTCCCCTGTAGTATTCGATTGCTAACTAGTACTCAGTATGTTGCCTACCTTCAATCACTTTCAAGTTTCAAAAAATGGGAATACCATAAGTAGCAAATATATGTATTTATTCGGTCACTGACATTTCTTTACAGTTGCCTTGATATCCCTATTACGCAGCCAGGGCATAAAGCCCGACGTCGTTGTAGGGCACTCAAGCGGCGAGATTGCAGCTGCGTATACCGCGGGCTATCTTTCTCACCATGCTGCCCTCGCCGTCGCGTTCCACCGTGGCTTCATGGCCCAGACGGCTAAGTCGAAGGATTGTCCTGCCGGTGGCATGATGTCTGTAGGTCTTGGTGAAAATGAAGCAAGCGAGCTTCTTCAAGGTCTCCAAAGTGGAAAGGCTGTCACTGCATGTATTAACAGTCCTAGCAATGTCACCATCTCGGGTGATGCAGCTGCCCTTGACGAAGTTTCTTCAATCTTGCAAGCTGATGGAAACGGCACGTTTCATCGCCGCTTGGCGGTCGACACAGCCTATCACTCCCATCACATGCAGGTTGTAGCAGAAGACTATCGCACACGCCTTGCTGGACTTGAGCACATGGAGCCTGAAGAGACCACTGAGCGCCCTGTTTTCATCTCCTCGGTCACAGGAGTTGCCAAATCAAGCCAGTTTGGTATACAGTATTGGATTGATAATCTGGTTTCTCCTGTACGGTTCTGCGATGCCGTCCAAGTTGTATCACAAGACTTCTATAGTGCCAGTCAACGCAGCTCTCATGTTTTCTTTGTCGAAATTGGTCCGCACCCTGCTCTGGCAGGTCCGGTTCGTCAGTCTTTGGGTGCACTTCCAGGAAAGGGCTTCGAATTTGACTACAGCTCCGTCCTCCAGCGAAAGATGAGTGCCGTCGTAAGTGCGCTCTCACTGCTTGGTCGATTCTTTGAGAGAGACGTGCCCATCGCGTCTGGTGCACTCGCCGATCTGACTCCTCGACTCTCTACGGCCAAAGTATGCCCCGACTTGCCATCTTATGCGTGGGATCACTCTGTTGATCACTGGAGAGAGTTCCGCCACAGCTCCGAACATCGCTTTCGACGTCACCCGTATCACGATCTACTTGGTGTGCGCATACCAGGTTCAGCTAGTAACGAACCTCAGTGGCGCCATGTCATTGGCTTGGACACGTTGCCATGGCTCGCAGACCACATCATTGATGGCCTATCCATCTTTCCTGGATCTGGGTATATGTGCATGGCGGCAGAGGGAATTCGGCAGATACATATGGATTCTCACCCCACAAAGAAGCTTGAGTCTTTGGTTTTTCGGCAGGTTTCGTTCCTCCGAGCACTCGTCATCCCGACCAGTGGCCAGGTCGAGCTGTATCTGCGGTTTAAGCCGCGATCGACCATTGGTCTTGACTTTTCTTTCTCAATCTCAACTCTATCTGATGGTCAGTGGAATGAAAACTGCACGGGCCTTATCGAGGGGCTGCTCGTTGATGAGCTCTTGGGGACTGCTCAAGATGCCGCTCATGCCGCCCGGACTGAGCCGGTTCATGAGTATGATCTTCCAGCCAGCCAACTTTACGAGACGCTCAAGACGGCCGGTAACGCATACGGCCCAACCTTTGCCGCGATACGGTCCTACATGTATACATCTGATGATCAGCTTCAAGCCACAGCAACTGTAGCCGTTCCTGACGTGGCTGCCACCATGCGTGCTCGCTATCAACAGCCTCACTTGATACATCCCACGACTCTCGATGCTATCCTACATACATCCCTTCCTGTCGCCGAGAAGCGCCTGGGATCAGGCTCGATAATGCCCGTGTACATCGAGGAGCTTCTTGTGTCCGCCACATCAGACCTTCCCAGTGACCCTGGCTCCGAGCTAGAAGTGAAGACCAAGATCTCGTCTGGCCATCTCCGAACCGCGTATACCGATTTCTCCGTCACAGCTGGTAATATCCCCGTCATGATGATTTCTGGCGCTGAAATGCGCAAGGTGGGAGGCAGTGCGGAGGATGCAAGCCAAATCACAGCTGAAGAGCAGCGGCCAGCTTGCTTCCAAGTTGAGTGGGGAGCTGACCAGGAATTCCTCCGAGCCGAAGAAATGGGAGTGAATCCCACGTTGGAGCAACTTCTCGGTCATATAGCGTTCAAGACTCCAGGGCTTTCCGTTTTGGACATTGGGCCCAGTCGGCGAGCCAATTCAATCTCTGTCGCCGACGTGATCCAGGGACATAGGGGTTCTGTGAGCATTTATGACATGGTCGAGCCCGCCTCTGAACCTCATGGTGTCAATGGCGTCAATGGTATCAATGGTATCAATAGTGTGAATGGTATCAATGGTGTCAATGGTGTCAACGGGGTCAACGGGGTCAACGGGGTCAACGGGGTCAACGGCCATCGGACTGACAATCTCGAAAGTATCAAGCAGAGCTTGCGGTCGTCAGCTTATGATGTTATCTTGGTCACACACTCCGAGTGGATACATGCTGCCTCCTCGTTGCTCAAGCCCGGTGGTGTCTTAATCCCTACTCTAGAGATTACTGATGAACTTCCATCTATGGAGTCAGTCCCGATGAAGAGCCAGCTTTGTTTTAGGGATAATGATCTAAATCTTTCCATCACGATGCTGCGCCCCTCGAGCGAGCAGACCATGGCAAACTCGAATACAGTTCAAGTCATATGTCATTCGGAAGAGTCTTCCCTTTCTCCCTGGACAAGGAATCTCGTCGACACGCTACCCTCCTACCGTGTCGGGATTGAAGGTTCTCCTACCACGTTGAATAGCACAGCCGTTGCTGCCAGCGCCACATCGGACAAGACCACGCTGGTTATCGAAGATCAGTCTACAGCAATCTTATCAGACGAGAAATATTTCGAAGCAGGAATATCTCTGTTGAAGCAGCCGGCGAGGATCGTATGGATAAGCTCGGAAAAGGACATCCGGATGCATCAGATCACCGGTGTGATCAGAACAGCCCATGCAGAGAACGACAACTTACATGCTACCACCATCCACGTGGGCTCGGAGTCACCTTCAGGCTCTCGATTCCATGAATTGGTTGCCTTCGCCGTTTCCAAGGTAGGTGACAGCAATAGAGAGCGAGAATACCGTGTGCTGGACAATGGCACGATTATGGTGCCTCGCCTTCGCGCACACGATGGATATACGAACGCTATTCGAGCCGAGCTGAGCGAAACTTATGAAATTACGGAACGGCCCATTACCGATATATCTCGGCCCGTCAGACTTCATGTTAGTGATGATCGAGGAATCAACGATCCTTGCTTTTCTGAAGAACAACCACCATCCGCCAGAGCATTGGCCCCGGACGAGGTTCAGTTGGCTGTGGAATACATGTCGTTGGCAAAATCCTACCATTCAACCCAACTGTGTGAATATGTTGGTACCGTCGCTAGGATTGGTTCATCGGTCAACCATTTCACCATCGGGGATACCGTGATTGCTTTGGGCTCTTCAATGGGTTCAAGTCATCCCTACATGCCCCGAGCCCACGTGGCTCGTTTACCCATGGGAGTACCTCCAGCAAAAGCTTCGGCTCTCCTGTTAACTGCAATGGCCGCTTCTTACTCAATACGAGAACTGGCTAAGTTGAGCCTAAGAGACGCAGTCCTGATCCATGGAGCATCCACAGCGGCGGGCCGAGCGGCCATCTCGGCTGCCAAGGCCATTGGATTACGCATCACCTGTACTGCAGGTGACTCTGTTGAGGCCAAATCTCTTCAGGAAAGAGAAGGATTGTTAGCCAGTGATATTTTTGTTACTCGGCCCTCTTTTAGCCGCCTCTCCGCGGAGCAAGTGTTTAGCACCGCTGTAGATGCCATTGTTATTGCATCTGAAGCCTCACTTCCGGTCGAAGTCATGAGACATTTGCGTCCGGGGGGGTCTGTGATCCTCACAGACTCTTTCAGCCACCAAAAGTCTATGACCACACTGCCAGGCAAGTTGCCGGCAAACGCCACTTTATACCACTGCAACGTCGATGAGCTATTGGCAGCATGTCCCCAAAAGATTTCGTCTCTTCTTCCTGATGCTGTTGCTATACTGAGTGGCGTCTCCCTCGATGGCCTAGACATTCTAGTCAATGATGTCTCCAAGACTCCTGAGGTACTGAAACTGCTCGACAGCAACATGTATTCCAAGGCGGTCATACGTGTCAATGCAGACTCTCAGACGTCAGTCAGAGCTATGAAGAGTTCCATGTGGCAGGGTCAAGAGGCGACCTTTGTTGTTTCGGGAGGATTAGGCGATTTAGGGCAACGGTGTCTAAAGATGTTAGCACATCGTGGCGCAAGGTCACTCGTTACTTTCTCAAGAAGCTTCCTTACTCCCGAAAAGCTACAAAGTCTTGAGAGAGCTCTGGAAGATATTCAACCAGGTTGCCGCCTATATTGTATTGAATGTGACATCTCGATCGAGAGCAGTGTCAAGGAGGCAGCTCAGAAGATCAAGGATCTAGGACTTCCACCAGTTTGTGGAATTATACAGTCTTCTACGATACTCCGAGTAAGTGTACCCCAGGGTTTTAGCTCACCATCTTTCTCTATTAATAGGAAATACGCCCAAGAGACTTGTTACATCAGTGTTAACCTACTTCCAGGACAGCACATTTGAGACGATTAATTTCGCAGACTACCAGTTGACCTCACGTATCAAGGTAGATGGCTCCATACATCTTTACAACGCAATGTCATCTCCCAGCTTAAAGTTTTTCATATCTATGTCTTCCGTTGTCGCTGTAGTCGGTACCAGCGGTCAGGCCAACTACAGCGCTGGCAATGTGGCTCAGGACATCATGTCACAACTACACAGAGGAGATTCCTGCCATTTCACCTCTCTCAACATTGGTTGGGTTGAAGACTCCCATCTAACGTCAGAGTTTGATGTCCGCAAGAATGCCATCCTTCGCGCTGGGCTTTCCCCAGTAGGACCAGAGACTCTCTACAAATACCTCGACTACTCCTTTGCATCCTCGGCCACCGAAGACCACGTATCCCAAATCGTAATTGGGATTGAACCAAAGGTCATTGCCCAGTCTATCGCCACCAACGGCACTGTTTATTCCCCAATGTTCAGTCATGTTTTGCATGGTATCGCAGATAGCACAGAGCCAAAACGCGAGACTACCGCCCAGAACTTTGCGCAGGTTGCTGCCTCTGGTGACATTGACATAATTATCGACTTTATAGCTACGAGATTTACCATCCAACTAGCTAAGCTCATCTACGCCGACCCTTCAACAATTGATCGTTACCGTACATCTCTGCTGGCCCTGGGACTGGATTCTCTGATTGCAATAGAGCTCCGAAACTGGATTCAGAGAGAATTTGACGCACGGCTGCAGTCATCTGAGATTTTCGCCCAACAGGATGTTTATACTCTTGCGGAGAAGATTGCCTCACGGTCTCAGGTTGTTTCCGGACTTGAATTTGAGGTATAAATATACTTAAAATTTAGTTAAGTTTAAGCCTACTGTCTCTCTTAAACATATAAATATATATGTATACACCTGTTCCTATCGGTCCCCCCCGTTGTAAATACCAATATTGCAATTTTTGCCCAAGAGATACAACCAAGAGCGACTTCTATACAGTTTATTGTGTTGTTTTCAAAAGGGAGTTGGCTTCTTGGTGATCGAGTACACACTCTAAAAGATGTAGAATGTTTCCTCAAATGGAACTATTTTGCCTGAGATTATTTCGTTCCAATCAAGTCCCATGCCGGACATCCTCATCAGCCCAAGACGCGAGTAACAGTTAGCTTTATCCGCTGTGCCTGTTATCTTTTTAAGAATCAGAAATACATCGGCGCTCCAAGACTCGTCAGATTGATGGCTGGCATGCAGTAGATACACACGCCCAAGGCCACACTGAATCGGCGGGTTTGAGATGCAGTTTTCCAACGTCTCCCTCGTGATTCCAATCTTTCTAGAGTCCAGGCTAGGGCAATCATCGAACATGACTTGAACATTCTCGCCACCAAACGGCAAAGGACTTATTGGGGCCACACATGCTGATGATCGCTTCGATGCTCGGTTGGACCCTTGCGCTAGGTCGACCTTCAGCTCTCGGTGTGGATCGCCCACGTATAAATCCGTCTTTCCTCTGTTATGATGTTGGATGATTCCCTCCGAGTAGATGCAATACCACCTCAGGTACCAAGGATATAGCATCGTCTTCATTTTTAAATGAGGGATGTTCAACCTGCCGAAAGGGACATGTTTTACCAATGGTGTACAGTGTATATCCTCAATTGCCTGACGAAGTAGCAGCCTGTTCCTCAAGAGTGTGTGGTTTGACCCGTTTAGTCGCATGTGCCCAAGTGTTTGACCCATAGATACAGACGCCCAAGACCATGTGGGAGCTGAAGAACCCTCGGGTCTGGCTTGCGGATGTCTTGACTTGTGGCGCTGCATCACGTACCACAACAAATCCTCTGCCAAGGTTTCTTTCCACATACCCGCGATATATGTATAACCGAGCGAAATAGACATGGCTTGTGCAATGCCCCCAATAGCGGGCAGTACGTCCGTAGGCTGAGTCAATTCGTGTTGCATATACCTGGAAATAATGGTCCTCCAAGTAGAAAGAAGCATAGTTGTTCCTGGTTGGCTCTGAGAGTACAGCTGCGATCGATAACTTGCAGGCATGGCTAATGTCTTCTGTGATGGGGCCCCATGCGGAGCAATGTTTGAGCCGCATTCGCAATGATCGCTCTCAAGACACTCGAACGCCAGCTCGCCGTAGTTGCACTCCACAAGGCGTGATGAGAGCAGCCGCTCTTGCAGAACCCAACCCCTAGATAGTAAAGGGTAATGTAATTGAAAGTTTTCAAGCGTGTTCGGGCGACCTTGTCTGTCGAGGATGCGAGCCCCGATGATGATAGGCCTCAGCGAATGGTCCAGTATTTGAAGACACATGTCTTTCTCGATATCGCTCCGAAAGCACCCGCCATCAGCGGTTGCCGAGGATACGGCAGCAATTGTCAAGAAACTGCCGCGATATATGTGACCCATCTTAGCTAGTTCTCTATTCAGGTCTTTGCCCCCATCTCCGTCCTGGATGATACAAATCGAGTCAATCCACATGTAGTCGATCTGTAGCTTCCGCGCGACCCAGATGGCTTCACGGAAATTTGCAGGAAGAGTGTCCAGGTCAATAAATTCCCTGGCGTCGTTGTAGTTTGCTGTTGTTGTCTTTAGTTGATGAATAATGCCGTCCCATCGGTGACTGAGGCAGGCGTATGCATAGTGTCGGCTCTCTGTCTCAATCAAACGGATCCCATTTGCTGATCCCCGAGTTAGATTCGCTATGTGAAGGAGCCTGCTGGGCCGAGTATTGTCATTTTGCTCTGACTTCTGCTTTGAACAACTCTTGTGGGAATGAAGGCATTGATCCAGCCACCCGCGAAGCCTCACAATGGACATGTCCCTGCCACAGAGGAAGTCTGATTTGGAGAAGAATCGAAGTACATGAGCACCAGGACCTGAATACTGTCAGATATGGTCGGCAAAAATTCCAGAGACTGTATACTTAATGGACTAAAGAGCTGCACGCTTTGTGAAGGCTGATGCCCCAAGGCTGCCCGTCGTCTCAGCTCAAATCGGCTCGTGAGTGAATATTCATAACCACCAGGTGGCTGACTTCCCCTTTCGGGAAACAATATCTGGATAAGCTGATGGATGATGCTGCACGATCCACATCCTTCTGCCGCCGAGTCTGTCGTGTCGCGAGCGGTGAACCAGTGTTCTACCGCGCTTCGCTCTTTCTTCAGAGCAGTCCGAGCTTGTCGTCGAGCCCCCTTGCTCTCGCCGGACGGAGATTCACCCAGCTCCCGGCTACTTAGCTCATAGGCTTGGAAAGCCTTGCAGTTCAACCGGCATCCTGATGTGCCGAAAATGTCAAAGAAGCTCTCGTTTGCGGTTGAGGGATTTGTTGAACTTTCTTCAAGAACATTTTCAATGTCTTGATGCGATATAACGCTGATTGACATAGCTTGCTATCGAGAGGATGTAAGAAGGTAGTCCGGCGTTCTTTTCGAGGCACTGGAGAGTTCGGTGCGATCAGCAGCAAGAGGATTGGATAAAGGTCGAATTCGACAGAACTCGGCAACCAGGGACTTTCCCCAATGTCATATGACTTGGGAAACAGATTGGACATGCCTGAGAGTGTATTGGACGGATCTGAGTGGCTGATTTCGACACGTGATGAAATATACAAACCCCGCTCGAGCTGAAGTCAGCACTGGAATCAGACTGTGACAAGTAAGCTTCTCCCCTTCTATTGCATGAAGTTTTGGTACCCAATTTTGCACAATAACATCACAAACAGTCTGGCCATGGTTAGCTGTCTGAATAAACTATTGATATTAAATAGCTCTATCCCTATATCTCTCTAAGGTAATCCAGAGATAAAGTTAGGATCTAGTTAGTAGTAGCTAACCTGTTTCTACCCTACCCTACACTTTCTCACATTGTAGAGTGGTACGGCTCAGCCAGCAACAGACCAGGTATAGAGTAGTTCAAATAGGAGGGACGAATCATTTTTACGGTTCACAAGAGGAGCCATGGCGACGAAAATAGTTGTCGTATTAAGCATAAGTTATTGTTGTCAGGCGTATTATGGTAAGCATTGTTATGCCTTACCAGTCAGCCCCGTAATAGGCTGACTTGATAGGTCTGTATACTATGCAATCCTACAAAAGTTCTTTTTACTTTTAGTCGATTTTATTCATACGCCAGGAGCTTCCTCCCCGATTCTATTGTTAAGCTGGCTGTTTAGGAATGTAATGCTTCGAACAACGCTGTACGCGCGTCCAAAAGAAAATTATCCTCGATTGTAGTGTCATTCAAATAAAGAACCCCGAGGTAAATTTCATTCCTGGCAGGGACTTGCGGGACTTGGCATGGGGTGGCGAGGGTTTTTCTCAGCCCCCTTTTCCTGCTCCGACTCACCCTGGAAGGCAGATGGGGCTTTCTCCGGCCACGGTCGCGAAAGCATTTACAGGTTGAAGCTGAATTGTCTCAGGCTCAAGGTGGAACAAAACTTAGGAAGGAAGAGGATGATTCATCGACTGAAAGGGATTAGCTGATGAACGATACGTAATTATTGTGGATGTTACAACCATGGAAATTGAGCGGCCCATAATGCGTGTCTTGTTTATCGTTCTTCCTGCTAGTAGTATAGTAAAATCTGTCGAATAAAGCATTGTACCTGCCGACCCTCTCTTTCATATAATCATGAAGGGGACATAAGCTTTATGGCCCGCCCCGGTAGGCGTTCAAAGTTGTACCGCCGTTTTGTGATTGTCCTGAAGTGGGGTTGATTGCGTTGAACCCTGGTTTGACCACGGTTTTACGTCTGCTACATCTGGTTACAGGAGAGCATGTCACTGGTTTTATACCAAGATGGCCTGGCGGGGAATAGAAGATTCAAGTATTACGTACTACCCGCCGAGAGAATGTTTTCGCGTTTCACCGTCCTCCGTGTTATCAAATCGGGGTGTTTACTCTTGACAAGAGGACAAGGGTCCAACTCCTATGAATCAAAGCACACATTTCTTTCTACACTCGCACGGACCCTACCAAGTACGAAGCGAGACAACCTTCTGGGCGAGATCCGCAGACTTGACACACTCTGTTCGGGCCCGGCGTAGAAAACGTTGGTTCGAATATTCTACCTACGATTCACCGCTCTTAAAGGCAATTTTTTTCATTGGTCCATGCATCTGCCCATACAGGGTTTGACCTTTCAACATCTTAATTGGTAGATGATATAGTTATCTTGGTAAGAGACTTGTAAGCTAGGACAACACTCGACCCACGCTCGCCGTTGTCGAATCAGGCCCAATCCCCGAGAGATATGCTACCTAACGATAGATATACAAGTATCTCATGCCACGACAGGGACATGTCCTTCCACTTCGAGACATGCCACCGCTGGAGGTCCACCATATAACGCTGTATGAAACTTTTCTCCAAGACGGCTGAGAGTGACGTTTGTATATATTGGGATCACATCAGTGCGCAAAGTAGAATCTCTCTGGAAGGCTTTTAGCTACGTCTGAACAATCCTTCACAATGGTCCGCCTCCTTCCTGGCCTTATTCTGCTCCTAGCAGCCGAGGCCTCAGCCGCTTGGAATGGCACATGCAATAAGAAATCGCAGCGCAAAGCATGGTAAGACAGGCCAATATGCAAGGTTTCCCTTTATGCAAGCTAACATAAAATCGAAGGCACATGATGTCGGTGGATGAGAGAAAGGAGTACATTGATGCCGAGCTTTGTTTGATGGAGCGTCCCCCGATTGCTGGAATTGAAGGCGCTCAGAATCTTTGGGACGAACTTCAGTTTGCGCACATAACCCAGTCGAACATTATTCATAATGTGGTTAGTAGCGGACTTGTTTTTGGAACGGAAAACGGAGAATTTGCGAAATTAACTGATCAAATCAGGGAGCCTTTTTACCTTGGCATCGATATTACATGCGTGTTCATGAATACCTGTTGCAAACTGAGTGCGGCTATAAAGGTGGTCAGCCTTACTGGGAACAAGTTCGTGACGTTGATGATTTTGCTGGATCTGTCATTTTTGATCCCATCACTGGGTTTGGCGGCGAAGGCAGCGATTGCGTCGTTGATGGCCCCTTTACGAATTTGAGAATGCATATCAACGGCACTTCAAACTCGGCCGATTACTGTCTTTCACGTGCTTTCAACGCCACCGCTTTTACGACTGCAAAGCAGGAGAATATCGATGAGTGCTTCAGTCTCGAGAAGTATGAGGACTCTTATTCTTGCTACCAGGCACTACCACATACGGCAGGTCATTTTGGTGTTGGTGGTACAGTAGGTCACCTCTGACATCCCGAACTAAGTTTATGAATACTGAATATCCTAGATGTATGATCCCGCCGCAAGCCCTGGCGAACCACTCTTCTACCTTCATCATACCAACCTGGACCGTCTTTGGTGGGAATGGCAGCAGGCCAATCTTACATTCCGGCTGACGGATATGGGAGGACAGAACATGCCCTCGGAGGAATTCCTGAGGGAAAACGGTTTCCCAGATCCCACCCCGGGCGTCGTCGATTATTTTGGCGATGGCGGTGGCAATGTGACTACTTTGAACCACAACTTGTGGATGGTAGGCGTTGCACCGAACGTGACAGTGCGAGAAGTTATGGACATTGGAGGACCATTAAATTGCGCTGAATATGTGTGAGAAAGTCTAGGCCAATGAACTACATCGCTGGATTAGGCTTGTTTTTGATATTTTTGAAAGCTTCAAAGACTTTTTAGAGATTACGAAGCGTAGTGGGCGTTAGAAATAGAAATGTTCAGATATATATGAGCTACTTGCTCGCAAGCTAGAGCGCAAATTTGGGAAAGTGAGATTAATATTAGGTTCAAATGGTTGGCTAGAGAGGCAGGTATGAAGCGCCCAAAAGCACATACAACATGTTGAAAGGACTTCATCTATGTTTCTCAATTCTACCATTTCTATTCTATTTGAAACGTTGACATTTAGATTCCATCTCCATTCGGAACAAGATAGCGGTTTTCAACCTTGGTCTAAAATGGCCTTTAATGTGGCTGGTTAAAGGACGTATCGGCTGGTCTCAATTAGCAAATGTTTTGAAATTAGGATTCTTGTAGTCACATACAATTTCAGGTTCTCTCTATCTGTCAAGTCTAGTTGAGTGTTGTTGACGACGTGTGCTGTTCGTGTACCGTCCGCGTCAACCGTCTCAACAACTCCTGTATCGTTGACTTGATTTTCGCTCTCAAGTCGATCTCTTCGTTTGTTCTCCTTATTGAGATAGACCCAGAGTGTGACAATGGTCATGGCGGGGAGAATTGCGGCGACCTAGTGATAGCTATCAGCTTTGGGGTCCATAACCTCTACAGATGTAATGTACGTACAACAAGCAAGATAATCCAAGTCGGGCGATACCGGGGCTAGCAAGATTGTTAGCGTGGTAATATTAGAATTGCAGCATAGCGTTTACTGACCTTCCACTGCGGCTGAAACAGTTGTGGTGATATGATGTTCCCTAAGCCATATCCAATATGGTAGAGTGCAATGACAGTCGTCTTTTTGGTGTGTCCTGCAGATGCGTTTGCTGCCCAGATCATAACAACGGCGTATGGAACTCCGACAGCTGAGCGAATCCAAATTCCAGTCACAAGTCCCCACTTGTTGGACCATGGAAGAGCTTCGCTTGATTAGAAAATGAAAATATCATCATGTTTGGATTAGACTTACCAAGTAGTAAGATACTTGAAAGAGCTCCCGGGATGTAGGCAACTAGTGAGATCCAAGCTCGACAGTTCTGCGATGCCTTTAGCATTTTTCAATCTTGCACTTCTCAAACATTTCTTACCTTGGTCTTGTATAATGCAATTGCGGCTAGAGAAAGCGACACGAACCCGACAAGGCCAGTTACCATGCCGAGGAGAGTTGTTTGTAAAACTGTGAAACCGAACGAGTTGATGATCAAGGAATACTGGTTTGTCACACCATTTGCCATCTCCTGGGACCAGGCATGGAGGAAGAAGAGCCATGTTTTTGGATCGCTGATAGCCTCTATGAATCTTTGTTACGTTAGCCTATGATTTATGCCCTAAGATGTCTCATAACATACTGATATTTCTTGAACCGCTTTTGCTCGATACCGGATTGGTTTTCTCTGATTCGTATGATAACCTTAGCTCGCTCCTCTAAAGTGAGAAAGCGTGCATGGACCGGGCTGTCCGGGAAGTACAAATAGACACAAGCCCCAAAGATGACCGTCACAACACCAGTGATGACTAGTGGCATAATATCAGTATCAGGTGAAACGTCTCATAGAAATTGAACTTACCCATGAACCATCTCCAAGGTGCAAATCCTGGGGTATCGATCCATAAAACACCATATGATAGAAGACCGGAAGTGATAGGACTGGAATTTCCAATAGACCACATAACTGGCATAATCACAGCTTGTTCGTGATAGGTGAAGAACATGGACATGATGAGTAGAAATGCTGGAACAATACAAGCTTCCGCTAGCCCAAGCAAAAATCGCACGGCAAATAGCGACCCAAAGCTTTTACATGGGATATGAAGAAGGATGATTCCGCCCCTGTTTAAGTTTAGCTCTCTTCAAATAATTGAATGATCAATCCCTTATACTTACCAAATGACCAGATTTAGTGAAAGCCATTTGGCTACTGGAAACCTCTGCAAAGCCCAATTCTGAGGCCACTCGGCGAGCAAATACCCAAAATAGAATATGGAAGAGAGCCAGTTATACTCGTTCGAGCTCAAGTTGTTGTCTTCCATAATACCCAAGATAGCAGAACTTCCCAACTATGCCGGAAATCCAAGATTTAGTGCAGGTGAAAAGGAGGTTTGGGTGATAAGAAAGACATACCGTTTGTTTATCGACATACATCAAATGGTACCCCAGACAAAGAAACGGAATAACACGCCATAGACATTTGTTCCTCAACTTCTTGGCCTCTTCGGGTGAAAGTTCTGTTGCATTGATCTTTGAAAAAAGTTTGTAACTCTCATCAGCAAATCGTTCATCAACAGCTGCGCCTCGTCTGCCATCAGCCTGTCCTACTCCCGTATCATCATTCTCCTCCTCTGGCTGGCTGCTATAGGCTTTGTCATCCTTGGGTAGGCTGGAAGGCATGGTGGCTTGGGCAGCTGCGCGAAGTTGCTACTGCGAATCTGAGTATGCTGATAATTTAATCAGGTGAACCAATTCCGCCCAGAATATACTTTCAACAATTGACAAGAAGGCTTAGCCTGATTATTATTCAATATTATTCCTCTGGATAACTGATGTATTGCGTGATTAGTGTTCCATTGGACGTGATTGTACGGCGCCCGACTTTCATTATACAGCTCCTCTATTGCGTGATTTGAGCCCGGCTGATCGGCATTTTACTGTGAAACTTGCTTGTTACACCAAATCAAATCTCATATAAAATAGAGTTATGGACTTGTAAATGCTTGTTTATGGCGCATTAAGATGGGAATTGTTGTTCCTACGTACAAATAAATAGGCCTTTGCTATGACTCGGTAGACACTCAACCACCACCTCGTGCCTAGACCAGAAAACCGACATCGGTATTATAAGCACTGTAGCTACAGCGGCTACATTGCCAATGAAACTAGTGCCTACAGGGACTATATCGCTGATGGCTACGAGCAACTTGACCTACCTATGTTTCTATCATGCGACAGGACGAGAGATCGCTACAGACCTAACCTCGCTGTTATCGATCGAGACAAGGGATCGATTTAGAGCTGACGTAGGCACCACATCTTAATTGCATTCGCGGTGTCGGCATTTATTGTGGGACAAACCCCCTACCAATGTGAATGTCATCTGCAAGCCTAATGTGCCGGTATCCGCGGGATGACCCCGACGCCGATTGCTGCATCGAGAGTGGGCATAGAAAATCATCGTGATGTTTAAGTAAACGAAATATGTTGTGTTTTCAACTTACATGGCAACTCCCTCACCACCCCATGAATAGGCTGTGTGAAAAGACTTGAGCGCGATGTCAACGATTGCGCTAATAGCTCCGAAGTGTATATCTTGATATTAGTAGGAGAATACAAGATCCTCCCTAGATCTGACCACCAGTTCTCATGCCTTCACACTGTCGAGTACTTCATCTGTCCACTCCCAAAACTTCTTTGCACCGTCCTCACTCAAAGCATCTTTGTCTTTCTCGTCATCTTTCAACACCCCGACAGGGTAGTAAAGGCCACCATTGACGAGCTGACTTTTTTTTGCGCCAGCTGCGACCCAGAGTTGACTCAAACGCCCTTGCTCGGGTTCGACGAGCGTGACTCCCATAAAGTAATTAGATATATACACCAAAGCCTTGTTTGCCCAGTCTAGACTATTGACAAGGTCTGTCTTGACAACACCCGGGTGGACAGACACGGATGTGATTTTTGGATAGCGACGGGCGATCTCGGCAGCGTAAATAACATTAGCAAATTTGCTCTGTCTGTAGATAAAATTAATTATGAAAATCAACAATCGAAAAGGTTAGGAACAACAGAAGAGACCTACCCATATCGGAACAACCACGAAACAAAGCCTCCAGTGTCGGTTCTTACTTTGTCGTATCGTATACCTCCGTTCGCATGACCCTTCCAGCCCTCTGAGGTCAAGGACACCACACGCACGTCGGAGCCTGGGATCTCTGCGGTCCGGGCCAAGACAGGGAGGAGTTCACGGATAATCATGGCGTGTGCGAGGTGATTGATGGCAAAGTGAACCTCGAAACCATCCTTGCTGACTGCTGCTGGCACTGCCATGACGCCGGCATTGCAGATGAGTATATCAAGTCTGCCATGATTAAACTTGCTGACGCCGGCTTTGACAGATGCCAACGAAGTAAAGTCCATCTCTAGAAATGTGATAGAGGCACTGGGAGTTGCTGATTTCATTTCGCTGATAACAGAATCGGCTGATTTGCGACTGCGACCGGTGAAGTAAATGTGCTCAGGATCATGCTTGGCAAGGGCTTGGATAGACTGCTTTCCCAAGCCAGCGGTACCTAGGGAGCGTATTAGGGTCAGAGTGTTCAGGATGAAACTGAAAGGGGATATGGGGGTTGGTAAGAGAGTGATTACCTCCAGTGACAAAGACAACTTTTCCTTTAAGGGAAGGAATTTCTTCTTCAGGATTGAAGTCGCCGAAGCCAGGGAGGCGTACCATTGTGGGCTAGGGTAGTAGTTGGATTGTGGAATTTGAGGTTTACGAGTGAGGGAAGAGACTGAGTAAGTTGTGGTTGAAAAAGAATGTAAGGAGGAGGAGATCTCAAAACCAAACAGGGCAGCAAGAGCACATTAAATAGAACGTCATTCTTCGTCCGCCAGCCTCTCCTGAAGTGTTGAAGTACGGTAGCCGGAAACCTTATATAATATCGAATGTAAGCAGTCTGCATTAGACCAAGTTAAGTTCCGTAGCCGGGAACATCGAAATCTGTGCCCAATCAAACAAAGCCTGCTGAGAGCTCGGCCTCCCGATTAGTTCTTAGCGCGTAACGATCTTGCATAAGTGGAGATAGCTTTGCCTGTGGCTTAGACGGTGCCATCATCTATTCTGCGGACTTCACTCTGCGGACTTAGGGGTTAATTCTAAATGATCCCTGAATCCCGGGTATTGGATACAACTTAGTATCCAAGCCGTTGGCAATGATTTTCCTAGCCTCGTAATTTCTGTTTGCCTATATGGACGAGAAGCTCGCTGGACCCATCAAGATGGAAAAGTGAGTCAGGCACCAACAAATACGATGAGTATCCAGCGGTTCTGACCCGGACAAATATTCTACTCTATGTTTGATGAGCAACTCCTTATCTGTGAGAATTTATACATGGAACCTATTGAATTATGACAATAGCTTATTATGATTAAAGATTAAATAGATGAGATAAATCCCTGCGCTAGAGTTTGGAATTTCTTAGGAGTACGTGTGACCATTTCATTTTTTAAAATAATGGTAAAGGCCCTGGCGAAAAGGAAACGGGGATAGAAAATGGGACTAATAGAAACAATGTCTTAATTGGTTTGTTGAAATGTCCCGATATTCTAGCCATGGCGAATTAATCTGCATGTACCCGCGTATGCTTAGGCCGATGATGGGAGCGGTTCCTTAGGTTTCCGATATTTTCTTGCTTCGAGACAGAAAAAGCAAGTTTATACCGATTTTCTGGAGGTTTTTATTTACATGAAGCATATTGCTTAAAGTTGTGTTGATGATGTAGGAGCCGCAGACTCGCGACAGATGGGGAAAGGAAAATAAAATGTGACAGGTTTTCACTTGATAACGGTCTTGATTGTTGCCTGATGTGACCACATTTTGTGCCCATGAGAATCCACAGTGGCAAGTTTCACACACGTGCGGCCAGTTCCTAAACATTGAATATTGATGTTTTTAACTTTCATGCCCTTTTAGCTACGATGACACTTCTCGGCATCGGAACTGCCATTTAACGCAAAGATATCCAACTGACCGACACGAAACCTTTTTCTCAACCAGTTGAATGGTTACTTTCTGTCATAATGAGATTCGTTGAATTCTTTTTCAACTGCTGCAATCTGCAGCGCAAGGGCCAGAGAGTACTGGCGGCACCACATGAAGCTTCCTGTCATGAACCAAAAGCCTGGCTGCCCCGTCGGACGCCACCACTATAAAGTAGATATTAGCATCAAACTCGTGTTGGGCATTTGGATTTTGAAAGACACGACGGTGTAACATGAAAGTAACCGGAGAGACGGGGGCGGTGGATGTGTACTTACACCTGCTCTCTCATTCTCAGCATCCATGCGACCGAAATTCGAGTCGAGCTTCTGGGCAACTTCGGAGCCCAGGATCTTTTCGACTGTTTCCACATTGCTATGATAACCAGTAGCAAGCACGATGATGTCGGCCTTGACCTGGGAGCCGTTTTCCAACACAATCGCATCTTGCTGGATTTCCTTTACGCCCTTTTCGCAGTTGTGGATTTTGATTCGCCCGTCCACAACCATCTCGCTCGCCCCTTGATCCAGATAATATCTGCCACCTGTATATCTACCGCGTTAACATGCAATTCTTTCACTACCAGGGCCAGATAGCTCCTCACCGTATATTAGCTGGTAATCAGCGAGCCCGTAGCCATCTTCACCCGTGTTCAGTACCATCCCCGCCTTCTTCAGGCCTGCTATTGTGTCCTTATCCATCTCGGCCATTGCTTTTGTCATTCCGATGCTCATGGTACGGATAACAGCCAGAGGAGTCGAGTTGCCGATCAAGTCAGCCTCTTCCGTCGTGAGGCCCTCCATTTTCCAAAGGAACAGCTGAATAGCTTCGCATGACTCTGCAGAGAGGAAAAAGATAGGATTGCGCTGGATCAAAGAAACCGCCTGTGCCCCGTGGTTCACAAAGTCTTGCGCCACATCATGGCCACTCGTACCCGGGCCAATGACTACCACGTTTTTTCGGTCTAGGCCTTGTACCGAATGAGCCGTACTATGTTGGCTTGAGTGGTAGATCTGGCCCTGGAACTGCTCTTGGCCAGCGAAGCTTGGAACGATGGGCCTGTCACTGAAAACACCTGTAGCAAGGACCACATGGCGAGGGTGTAGAGTCATGGTCCAGCCATCGCGCTGGATAATGACCTTGTATCTTCTCTCTGTCTCGTTAAATACTGCGCTGACCACATTCGCACTCGTCAGAACGTCAAGGCCCATCATCTCCTGGTAGTGCTCCCAGAAGCTGGCTACTTGGGCTCCGGACAGCCAACGAGGCCAGGTTTCCGGAATCTTCATGAACGGCGGGTGGTCTGTGTAAGTCGGCGTGTTCAGTCTGACTGAGAGATATCGTTTTCTCCAGACATCACCAACGCGAGCATGCCTCTCCGCGATGAGCGTCTTGATGCCCATATGATGAAGGCGCGCGCCGAGGGAGAGGCCTGCTTGACCCGCCCCAACGATCAAAACCTGCAGGTCATCGCGCGAAGCTGAGGACTCCTGGGTCCCTGGAGCTTCGGGCAAAGAATTGTTCTTGCTTCGGGTAGCGGGATGCTGTTGCCGCTTGGCTTCGATTTCCTTCTGGAAGTCGAACTTCTCCAACTGTGTGAAGACGGTCCACGCCTTCCATTCATTTCCTTCCACATTCAGCAACTTGACCAAGCCTGTCCCCGAACCGAAAGATGTTTTGAAAGTGAAGGCGCTTTGGACCCATATCATCCCAGGAACTTCAATCACAAAGGGCTTAATTCCGCCGGACCGGGAAGACTTGATTTCAGATAGTGTGTTAGGAGCCGAAGAAAGATATTCTGCGATACTTTCTTTGCCGTGCTTGGAGGAGAAGTTCCAATGCAGGCCGACAATGTCTCTCCACCAACAATCATCGATGAAGAGTTGGTCAAGATTGCCGGTGAAGGACTTGGTCTCAAAAATTTGCCCGAGCTTAGACAGCCAGCCCTCTATTATCGCCTCGGCATCGATATCCTCCTTCTTCACCCCAGGCTGGAGGACATGAGGGGGGATTTCTGGGAGTTTGAAGCCATCCATGATGTTTGGAATAGAGAAAATCGGATGATGATCAGTTGGTACCAGTTTTTCTGTGTAGGCAACATTGTGCGCTACTTTATATAAGCAGCAGCAGGTTTCTTTCCATGCGTCGGCAATGCGCGCTTTTCCCTGCTGTTCAATCCCTGATTGTGTTCATCCGCGCCGGCGGCATGTGCTTGACCAGTAGAATGCCGAGATCGTCCGTGTTGTAAGAATATCATCACCATCTTTGGGCTTACCCGCATTGAATGTGACTGACGATCCCTGCCCTATGTCAATCAAGCAGTCACTGCCGTCATTATCCATATTGCTAGCTTCTCTTTTGGATTAAATTGGTTCCATTTTACGTCCCAGCCAACGAATCGCGCTGTTCAAATGCAGTCAGCTTGAAAATTCATTATCAATCTAATCTGATCCGTCAGGATCATCCACCAGCTCCACGCCCTTGCTCCTTGCAGTAAGGTTGTATTTAGGCTCAAGCGCATTTTTTTCTGCTGCCCTCCTCGTGCTGTCACAAAAAGAAGAGGCCTGAATTAAGATTTGGTTCTCTGCCCGTTTGAGAAAATAGACATAATGATCTTGACACACGGCCTTGGTAATCCATCTTCGTGATGCCGTGATTCGTTATACGCCTCGCTGGGGCTTCTGCCATGGCCTCTGGCCTGAGAAGAGGGACAAGGCCCTCGGCTCATTTCCCTCTTCGTCATCGTGCATTCGTAGGCATTGAGGCTAGCGCCACCGTATTACACCCTCGATGTAACTCAGGAGCTAGGGCAGTCTGCGGCTATTTCTAGCCTGCGTGAATTTGTTTTCTGTCGTGGGTATCTTTGGGACTTTAGGATCCAGCCACTACTACAATTTATAATAATCGTCATAGTAGCCAACGGTCTGTCTCAAGGTCGTGGAGTCGAGTAACCACACCGGATATGCATTTGCGAGCCAGATAACACACTTCCCGTCAGGGGAAGGCTACTGAAGACTCGCATCGATTCCGCGGAAAGCGTGACGATCTGAAAATCGCATAGAACGTCCCGGGCAGGTGTCGGCCCACCAGTCCGGAGCCAGAAAAGGAAGGTTACTTCGCCAATGAGTATATTCGGAGCCTATCGGATGCTATTAGCTGTCAAAACTGTTCATTGAATTTTAAACACTGGGTGGGGAATATAGCAAAAGAAGATAGTGTTCCAGCCATTGTTTTGATCTCGGCAGGGAAATTGAACGCTACAATATAAGTTACACCTTGGTAATTGTAAAGTCGCCGTTGGTGGGCGGTATTTATGTTGACTCGCGTCCCCCCGTCGCATAGAGAGTCTAGCCCACAATTTAAATCAAAATAAGACGGAATATCAGTAATATATTTGGTTTGACAAGCTTATTTTTCGACCATGAATCTGATGGGGCTTATAAAATTGTAGAATAGCGACGATAAAGGGGTCTGGCAAGTCTTCTAATACAGACGAACGGCTTTTTGTTCACCGAGCGTGCGTCAACCTGCCACCCGCCTGGTATGCGTGGCATTGAGTAAGGAGCAGGTGCGAATCCTACGACTATCCTCTGAGTGATAGTATTTACTTACTCCTGACACTGAATCAAAATGTATAATATATTCATCTTATGGTACAGATTGGAAATTGTGATGGGATGCCCAACCCCTTACCCCGTTGTCTCGGACATTTCGTTGAATATCAACGTCGGTAGGACTAGCCAAAGCTACGCCCCCTTCACCCGAAGCCCACTCTCTTCCCCTTATTGTCTAAGACTTTTCGTAATTCCTGATTTGAACATCATAAGTAACACCGAAACAACGATTTCAAAATACCCGAGGCGAGAGGCCCAGCAAGTGGGTGGCATTGAGATTGAGACACACCAAGTATTAAGCAGCTGTTTATTTTCGAGCCTGCGACCGGTCTTACCAGGTTATTAAGTGCTAATGATACATGTTTCAGAGATAATCTAGCATTCATTGTGACTTTATTTCGTCTTAGGCTGGTGAATCTCCCTAATTGGCGTAGAAAGCAGTCTGGTTATAATATTCTCGGAGACACCTCCTGTTGCACAATGGGTGAGCAGCAACATCCTCGGGATGGTGAGTTTTGGAAGATTTGAGCATGTGAAAAAACATTCATGCATTCGGTAAAATTGGCTCTTCGATTCACATACCACCTACCAGGTACCTAGTAGCCTTACCCCGGGCAGATTGATTTGTAGATTGGAGCCTCGCGAAATTATAGAATCAAAGTTTCAACTATTGAAGAGTGGGGCTTCTTGCTAGCACAGAAAACCACCAACCTCCAACTTGCCAATCAACATCAATTTCGACTCTTGCAATTACATCTGCTCCAACCTCAATCGACACAATAACAACAGCTACTATCTTGATGCCCTTAAGATGGACTGGGCTTGTTGCTCCCGATGCGACCGGTATTTCAACTCTCCATTGGCGATGGAGCAACACATCCGGGACTCGCCCAAGCATAACATCTGTGGCGCCTGCAACGACGACTTCGAACTGAGGGAAGACTTAGAAGAACACTGCGAATATTGGCATGACTACTGCAGACATTGCAGCCGATTTTTCGACAGTGCCGAAGACCTCGATCAGCACGACGTATTACAGCACGACATGTGCATCGTCTGCGGAAGATATTTCATCTCAGAAAACAATCTGAGATATGTAAGCCTCCGTTCTATCTTTGTTTGATGTTGAAAATAGGACTAAGAGAAAATCCTTAGCATAAACTGACACACGTGGATAAAACAATTGGCTGCCGTGGCTGCGAACGCGACTTTGTAACACACTTTGCCATGACTCTGCATTTGGAGGAGGGCACTTGCAGCTCCGGCGTCGATCAAGGGAGGGTCACCGAGCTCGCGTTTCAGTGTCGCCTATCGCAGTACTATGCGAGTAGCAAGGGTGGCTTTGATTTCGAATGCCCGAGCTGTACAGTACCGTTCTCCTACATGAGCGGCCTTTTCCAACACGTACAAAGCGAAGCGTGTGACGAAGAGTTGGATAAACATAGCCCTCTGAGAGTTTTTCTTCGATTTTTAAGACGACGTGCGTGATTCAAAGGGCTGTCCTTTATGAGAATTAATGGAATCCCAGGACTGCGGTTTGGGATGTTTTTAAAGTGACTGGCCGCTCATGAGTTGCGAGGTCAAACGATCTCTAGCATTTCTCACATCGGCAACAAAACTACTTATTTCTTCACGAATGACAGCACGCACACAAAATTTGTTTGATTCAAATTTAGATGTCAGCTAGCAGGCAGAAACCAAATAATTACCGGCAACATGAGCTCCAGGTAAACCATCGCTGTGGCCCCCGATTGCTCTCCATTAGTTTAGCCAAGACTCGTGAGAATGAGCTCGAGCAGCCTCATTTGCTCTCTTCTTAATCTCAGTGAGCATGCTGCGTTTCTGAACCCACTCAGTACCGTTGGAACGGAGCTTCTGTGTGGCCGCTGCCAGATCGAGACCGAGAGACTTAGCCACGTACTGAGGAAGCTCGGTATTGTCGCGGAATCCACCAATCTCCTTGCGCAGATCTTCTTGGGATTCACCTGCATACCCGTGGAGGACGACGTCGGCAGCAGAGTGCCCACCGGTAGACCAGTTGATGCCGGCCTCGGCTGCAAAGCGTTCGACCAAGTCTCTGCCCACAGCCTCTGAGCCACTGGAGGCATGCTTCCTGGCCAAATGTTCGACAGTTTCGTCAGTGTATTTGGAAAGACCCATGCCGGGAAGGATTGTGTCACGGAGAAGGCCAGCGTGGTCGTTTCCAGTATATGCTTCCAGGGAGCGCGCAGCTTTCTCACCAGAAGACTGCCCCTTTGCCAAGGATGTAGGGTCGTAGCCATCAATGAGAGTCAAGCCACCACACTCATGGTCAGCGGCAGAAAGGATCTGCGTATCGGGATGCGCATCAACGTATTCCTTGAGGTAGTGCATAACCTCATTGAAAACAAGAATCTCGTGCAGGTGGCTGGTGGCATCATTAGAATGAGCCGCATGATCGATGCGAGAGGCCTCGACCATGAGAAAGTATCCCTTGTCAGAGTCCTTTACAGCATCCTCGAGGGTGTCGACAGCCGCTTTTGTAGTCTCGAGCAAGGAAGGTTCCTTTTCGATGTCGCGATCGACTTCGTAGGTCAAGTGACTAGATGTGAAGAGACCCAAGAATGGCAGAGGGAGCTTTCCATCCGTTTGTACCTCAGTAAAATCCGACTTATCGGCGGCGTATGTGTATCCTTTCTCAATAGCCCAATTGATGAGATTCACACCGTCATCACGAGCACCGCCCTCGGAAGTGGGCAGGTATTGCTGGCGACCGCCGCCAATGAGGATGTCCACGAATCGACCAAATGGGTGCGCCTTTCCAATCTGCTGCGCGGCAATCTCATTTTCAGAGTCTCGGTGAAGGACATGCGCAGAGTACACAGCTGGGGTAGCATGAGTGATGCGAGATGTGACAACAAGACCGGTCTTTAGTCCATCAAGGTAGGCGGCTTCAAGGACAGAAGCCACCGGCAGACCATCGTCATTCACTGAAATGGCTGTTGAACATAGGTTAGCGGGATATTCTTGACTGAATTTGAGACAACTCAGAGTGAAATTTATCACGAACCTCCATTGTAGGTCTTGATCCCGGCGGCAAATGCAGTTCCAGATGCAGCCGAATCCGTGACAAGGTTGTCTGAAGCCTGCGTCTTCACCGATCCAATGACCTGTTTAACCAATGGATTAGCAAGCAGGCTTTCTTGGCAAGGGATACTCCCATGCAGGAGAATAGTGCTTCTTGGCGTACAATGTTGTCTACACCAAGGGCTGCGGTGTTAGGTTGAGCAACTGTGCCTTCGCCGTTGGTGATGCTGTAGAAATCGCGGGCAAGAACTTGCGAGGAGATGCCGTATCCATCAGGGACGATGTAGATGAAGTTCTTCGTCTTCACCGCGGCGGCGCCTTTAACCAATGCGCAAGCAAGGGCGAGAGCAAAACCTTGGCAATACATCGTCAAGTACAGATAGCAAGACACTTCTCACACAGGTGAGGACGATGGTTCAAGTCAAGAAAATAAAAAGACCGTGATTAGTGCACGAGATATATAGGCTGCTTGCCCCCGCAAGGATCATCAAGCTTACAAGGAAACTTATTTTTGAGCTGCCAAAACGAGTAGGAGCTTGCGTAAATACTGTAGAGGGTGCCAAGGCTCATGCATTAGAGACATCTCACCTTCCTCTCTGGATCATAGTACTTTGTGTTCAGAAGGTGAGAACATTCAAAGCCCGATTTTCAGTGTCGCACCGCATTGTTTAATGACTGAGACCCTTGGCCCCCCAATTTTTTTGCTGCGGGCACGAATGGATGCTGCCATTATCCCTCAAGTATTTCACATGCTTGCACGGTCTATTAGGTAAAGTTGCCTTTCCCTTTGTTGCGTAGCCATATGCGACGGCACGTGTCATGTTCTATCGCCGCCAGCTACTCAAGCGAAAGGAAAGTTTATCTTGCCATGCCTACATGGTACATGCTAATTGGGGCCAAAGTCGGGGGCTGTTACAATAGGTAGGCTCGCTAGCTTCTATTTCGTGTCCTTGAATTAAGTCTACGCCAATTCTTGTGATGGCCATTTGGTGTACCGAAACCCACCATCCAATCATCTGTTCTTGCTGAGTGATGTGTACAAACGAAGCCAGGTGAAAGAGGGCATCTTCAATAGTTATTCGACGAACCGCTGTCCCGACAACAAGCGAGTTATCCGTACGAAGGATCATAGAAGTTTCCTGTCGTATAACTACATCTTAGGCGGGCTAGGAAAGGCTATATTTTTAAGCTGTCGTATTTATTGAGTTGAGCTGTCGGGCCCTGGCAGCTTTCATTGCTATTGAACTTTATTCTCTCTGTCTTCCGTGTTCTTTTAAGTGATGAACATGAGCAGAGTTCTCCTGCCACTTGCCCGCCCGATTGTATGATCTCTCACCTTTGAGCTAATTGTAGTACAGTGATAGATAGGCGCAGCCTAATCAATTGACGAACAGAGCGGGTCCATAGTCGGAGCTGTAGGATTCACGAATGATTTAACGTAGAAGTCTGAAGACTTGTATAGAACAGCCGCAGCGGACTCCAGAGGTCCAATGCAGAACGTATTCAACGTTGTTTCAGTAGCACTACCACTGTTAGTAGCTCAGCGTTTCATATTGTTAAACGTTGTCTGCCTCTCGATCTTGATTTGCCTATGGCCTAGGAACATTGGCAGCCTTTACTGCTCAAACATGTCCCAACCACCTGAATAAATGGCACGGATAGTCTAATGATACATTTCCGGCACAATGGCCGGAAACGGCGGGAACTACTCATTACGTTATTTCTTCCCGGTGGAAGATAAGCTTACTTCCAACTGCGAGATCGGAAGTACCGGCCGATACTCGCACCGAAAGAATAATGAGCACTGTATTTAATATTGATCTCATGTGTGTAATTGTTTCATCTCGAGTAACGTAATTCGACACTCCGGAATTGGGCAATCTTATTCTATCACCAGTTCAACTTTATGACAAAAGTTCATCATGGCACCATCACTCTCCCGACGATTACATCTTTTTCTGCATCCTAGAAATAATTCAAATATTTTAAGCCACCCTTCACGCACACTACGGTCGCTAGAGAAATCAATTGATGGGCTTTCTCCCTGGTATCAAGTTATCGTTGGATTCTTTGTCAACTTTATGACATGGGGCATGCCCAACGCGTACGGCGTATTCCAATTGTATTATTCTCAGACCACGCACTGGTCTTCGTCTCAGATCTCGTGGGTGGGCTCGATTCAGCTCTTTCTAGCTTTTATTGGCGGCTCCGTGTCCGGGAGATTGGCGGATGCTGGGTATGCCCGGCATTGCATCTTCCTCGGATCTGCTCTCAACATTATAGGAATTATGACAGCGAGTTATGCCTCTGCATACTGGCAAGTGATCTTATCGCTCGGTGTCTGTGTTGGTCTAGGGGGTGGCATGATGGCTCTGCCTGCTGCCGCTGCTATCGGGTCTCGCCTGCGACACAGACGAGCGCTGGCCATGAGCTTGTCGGGATGTGGTGCAAGTATCGGTGCCATCTCTTATGCTGCGACTGTTCAGTATCTCATCCCTGTCATTGGCTTTCCCTGGGCGGTTCGATGCTGCGGGCTCCTTTCTATCATAGCCTCAATCTCTGCAAATGCGCTTGCTCGGCCACCACTGTACACCAGGAAATCCGGTGGCCTAATTGATTGGTCCGCATTTGAGAGTGGCTTCTTTGGAATGTTCTGTCTTGGTGGTTTCTTGGTGTATTTCTCTCTCTTTGCGGCTACCATCTACGTAAGTGTTCTGATTCTGTTTATCACAAAAGCTTTACGCGAGTGCGGTCTACTAATGTGTCCGAAGATCAACTCATTTGCATCAAATACACTAGGGTTTGAGGCCAGCAAGTCAATTCAGTTCCTGCTCATCTCCAACGCTGCCTCCATTCTCGCTCGGCCGATGTCGGGGATGATTGCAGATCATGTTTTCGGGGAAGTGAACACATGGAACATGGTTTGTTTCCTCCTATCAGGCATGCTATTTGCGTGGATCGGCGTCCGTTCTCAACCTGCCATGTATGCATACTCCGTTTTGATGGGGTTTTTGAACGGGGCAGCGCAAGGCATCTTCCCGAGCGCCGTCAATAGTCTCAGCATCGGTACAGACAAGCTGGGCACCCGCCTGGGGATGGTTTTCGGTCTCTGTGGGGTGGCCAGTCTGGCAGGGCCTCCGACGATGGGTGCTATAATTGATGCCAACAAAGGACAGTACTTGTGGGCGCAGGTCTGCGGAGGGACGTTGATGTGTGTTGGATGTTTGACCGTTGGTAGTGCGAGACTGTTTTTCGCCAGAACGCGCCTGAGAGATGAGATCGGTCTTTAGAAAGTCTCTTTCTCTAACTAATCTTCTTGATCATTAACTTGATAAGAAGGAATCTATATGGCTAGGTATGTCGGATTTCCAAAGCCGGAGCGGTGGGTTCGGTCCCCGGATTTTAGGACCGGAGGCAGCCTC